GTTCTACTTATTATTCCCAAACCTCAGGGGAGGGGTTAAAGAATTCCTTYAGTTCCCTAGACCAGTCCTGGAATAGGAAGAAAATGAAAGTTTTTATTTTATTATTTTTTTTGCATTGCTGGGGACTGAACCCAGGGCCTCACGCATGTAGAGAGGCAGGCACTCTACTACTGAGCTACATTCCCAGCCCCACAGAGCTAAGTTTTAAGAGAGAAACGTTTAAGTTTAGCATGTAGATTTATTAGGAGGTACTCTTATACTCTTAGGACAGATAGCGTGGAATGGAAGGAAAAGCCTGCACAGAGGAAGCAGCTGGCCTTTGTCCTATAGCACTGCGCAGGTGGGGTAACACATGCCCAAGGTTCACATAACTGCATTCATGGTAAGTTCATGCAACTCATCGCAATAGAAAGGCCTTTGAACTATTATTGTGGAGCGTGTGTGTGGGTGTGTGGTAACATATCCATGACATAAAGTTTAATGTTTTCACCTTTTTTTTTCTTTTATACTGAGGATTGAACTCAGGGGTGCTCTACCACTGAAGTATATCCCCAGTCCTTTTTATTTTTTTAATTGTTGTTGGACCTCTATTTTATTTATTTATTTATTTTTTTAATTGTTGTTGGACCTCTATTTTATTTATTTATTTATTTATATATTTGTGGTGCTGAGGGTCAAACCCAGTGCCTCACACATACCAAGTGCTCTACCACTGAGCCATGATCCTAGCCCCCTTTTAAAAATTTTTTGAGAAAGGGTCTTGCCAAGTTGCTTAGAGCCTCACTAAATTGCTGAGGGTGGCCTTAAACTTGCAATCCTCCTGTCTCAGTCTCCTGAGTGGCTATGTTTATAGGCATGCTCCATCATGCCTGGCTTAGCCTTATTTTTTTTTTTTTATATTTTTTTGTAATACATGGGCACAACATCTTTATTTATTTTTATGTGGTGCTAAGGATGGAACCCAGTACCTCACATATGCGAGGCAAGCGCGCTATCACTGAGCCACAGCCCCAGGCCTGTTTTTTTTTTTAAATGAGGGCATATGCCTTTATTTTTATTTTTTTAAGAGAGAGGGGAGAGAGAGAGAGAGAGAGAGAGAGAGAGAGAGAGAATTTTCAATATTTATTTTCTAGTTCTCGGCGGATACAACATTCTTGTTGGTATGTGGTGCTGAGGATCGAACCCGGGCCGCACGCATGCCAGGCGAGTGCGCTACCGCTTGAGCCACATCCCCAGCCCCCCAGGCCTGTTTTAATTTTGCTGTGGCTTGTAAGAGCAGGATAGCCGGCTCTTACTTGGTGTGGCAGACCCTTCCTTCACTTTCTCCCTCAGAGGTAGCTAGAGATATGGGCCATCTTGAGGCTTCACCCCTAGAGCACAGTCTTTACCAGCCATAAGGGGTATGTGGCTGGCCAGAACCCAGGACATGGGCCAAGGGACTGCATGCTGAAGGGAAGAGTCATCAATCACCTCTCACAGTGTCACCTTGACACAGCTGATCCCAACTTGGGTACAGGGTGCTGGGCCTAGGGGTAGGGGTACTTCCACCCAGAGCTTTCCCTTAAGCCAAAGTGCGGCAGGGAGGGGAGAGCAGCCTTGCCCCAGAGGTCCAAGGGAAGCTTCAGGAGCCGGATGGGAAGCAGCTCCAGCCTGCTGCTCTGCTGGAGTCCTGAAGGGTGGCTTGTCCTGTCCTGCTCTCTAAAGCCCCATTACATAAGCCTCTTCCTATCTGTCCATAGGCTGGCCAGGGAGTGCGGGTGGGTCTCAGTGGCTCCAGAAAAACAACTCAGTCCACATTCCGCCCACAATGGCGGTGGGACACAGGGATTAGCTGAGCAGGGGGAGGCTCAGCCCACTGAGAGGTYGGTTGCAGGACTTAACTGTCAGCTCTCCTGGGATTATGCTGGGTGAAGGAAGAGGAGAGTAACACCCGGGCAGGCAGGGAGCCTGGGGCTGTCAAAGCTGAGACTGCCCTTTGGTCTGTTGCTGAGGAAGCTGGCACCAGCTCTTTGTTAATTGTAGCCAGAAAGAAGTTAGAAGTTGGCAGCTGAACCCCACTCAGCAGCTGGGTGAGGCCAAGGTGTGGTCACCAGGCAAGCCACAGAGTATAGCTAATTGGCATTGACAGGTGTCTGCAGTAATGGCCCTGCTCACCTGCCTTTTGCCTTTCTAATCTTTGCTTGGGCCAGAGTTCCTCCTCTGTGGATCAGCCCCTCCCGTCCACTCAAGTCTGCTGAGCTCTGAGCTCTGAGTAGGGTGAGTTCCATTTGGGGTAAAGAAAACATTCTGGAACAGGAGAGAGGTTGTGACGGCCCACTGAGAATGCAGTAAATGCCACTGAACTGCTCACCTTAAAATGGTTAATTTTTATGTTATGTTACTTTCACCCCAATAAAATTTAAGGGATGGGGTGGAGAATGCTAAAGCTCAAGGTCTTAGCAGGATTGTCCAGCACTGCCAGGGGGAACAGACAGAGACCTGGTGGACGGGAGAATGCACTGTCCAGTCACACAGGGAGGTTGGTCAGGCTTCCTGGAGGAGTGTCCCTCAGCTCTCCAACCCTTTGTTTTGACTTCATCCTCTCCAAGCAACCTTAGGTTTATTAGTGTGGTCTCCTAGGCAGCACTTGACATTAAAAAACAAGGTATCTGAGGTGGGGATGGGAATAGGAGACAGTAGAATGAGTCAGACATAACTTTCCACTGTTCATATATGAATTCAAGACCAGTGAAACTCCACGTCATGTACAACCTAATTAGAACGATTATCTCTGTGAATGTCAAAATACACTCTATTGTCATATATATCATATATATTTAGATATATTGTCATATATCTAAAAAGAACAACAAAAATGCTCACCTGTAATGCCAGCAACTTGGGAGGCTGAGGCAGGAAGATGGAAAGTTTGAGGCCAGCCTGCACAACTTGGGTTTTTTTTTTTTTTTTTTTTTTTAACTGAGGATTGAACTCAGTGGTGCTTTATCACCAAGCTACATTCCCAGCCCTTTTTATTTTTTATTTTGATTCAGGGTTAAGTTGCTGATGCTGGCCTCAAACTTGGCATCCTTCTGCCTCAGGCTCCAGAGTCCTTGGGATTACAGGCCTGTGCCACTGCTCCTGGCTAAGCCTGGGTAATTTATTTTTTATTTTTTAGAGAGAGAATTTTTAAATATTTACTTATTTTTTTTTAGTTTTCGGCGAACACAACATCTTTGTTTGTATGTGGTGCTGAGGATCGAACCCGGGCCGCACGCATGCCAGGCGAGCGCGCTACCACTTGAGCCACATCCCCAGCCCAAGCCTGGGTAATTTAGTGAACGTTATCTCAGAATAAAAATTAAAAGGGCTCAAGATGTAGCTCTCTGGCTCAGTGGTAGAGTGCCCCTGCTTTCAATCCCCGGTATTGAAATAAAATAAAATTAATAAAATAAATAAAAAAGAGCTGGGGAAGTAGCTTAGTGGTAGAGCATTTGCCTAGCATATGCAAGGCCCTAGAATAATCCTCAGCACTGAAAAACAAAAGAAACAAACAAACAGCAACAACAACAACAACAACAACAAAAAAAAAAAAAAAAACAGTAAAGGATTGGAGAGACTGCTTTTAGTATATCCATAAAATAGAGTATTACAAATCATTAGGAATGTTGATAAAGATGTATGTTTATTCACTGAAGGTCTTAGGTAAACAAATAATAGAAAATAAGTTAGAGAAGAAAGTATATTCCAAAATGTTAAGAGATAATTTCTGAGCAATATAAAAATACACAGAATTTTGCTATTAATAAAGTTAACAAATCTGAGGAGCTTGCTAGATACAAATTCCTACACTCAGATCTTATTCCAGCTTCCCCACCTACTTGGGTTAATTTTTATGTAGAGCCTGGTCCCTACCATTTTGGGGAAGTCTTTGGGAATCTGATGTAACCACAGGTCCTCTCCCTTGAAAACACAAATAGTGGCACCACCTGGGCTTCAAGTGTAGAGTGGTATGGCCCTGACTCCAGTTGAAGTAAGAACATCTAATGCAGAATGGGTGTCAACAACTCTTCCTCATTTTCCTGGCATTCAGAGGGGACCCAGCAATAGGGTATGCAGGGGTGGTGGCTGGCCCTGAGGACCACTCTGAGAATCTGTGTGTGCTGCACATGGGGCTACTTCCCTACTGCCCCCCCACAGGACAGCTCTCAGACTGTGGCTCCTCCTGGACCCTGCCTCTTCTGGTCCATAGGACACAAAAATCTCTGGCTGTGTAAGTCTAAGGAAGCCATCCCCACCACCTTGCTCCTGGCTCTTGTTTACATCATCAATGACAAAAGCCGCTCCCATTTATCCTGCATGGTACTGTCATTTAGGCTGAGATGGGCCCCTGAAATGAGATGGGAGCTCTTCACACAGCTTAGTGGCCTGGGATCCATACAGAATCATAAACTTTACTTGGGGTCTTTTCTTCTTTTTTGGAACTGGGGATTGAACCCAGGGTTTCACATATGTGAGGCAAACACTATGCCACTGAGCTACCTCCCAACCCTATAGCATAAATTTTAGGACCCCAACAACATTTTATTAACAGTTTACAAGATTTCCTCTTTTTGTGTATCACTAAAAGTCATGGGCTGCATGAGTGTGGGTGGTTCTATGGCTTCTAAGAGAAAAAAGGCAGTTAAGAGTCAAGTCTCTTTGGGAAGACAGAGGTCTGTGGCCTCAGCCACCAGGTGGCATCACTGACCAGCTGGGAAGAGCCACTCCTTCTGCTTGGACTCCATTCCACCCAAGAAAGGGCCGATTCTGCACCCGGGGGCATCTGTCTGCAGGGGTCACCAGTCCTCACTCTGCCCTCCCCTCGCAGCCCCCACCTGTTCCCGGGCACACCCGATCCTATTCCTCAGTAGCTGCTCCTTCCCATCTCCTCCCCTCCTCTGGACCCAGGGGGAGATAAAGTAGGGCAGAGAGTTTTCTTAGCCCTGGCATAATAAAAAGGAAACCTGAACACTTTTCTTTCTTTCTTTCTTTCTTTCTTTTTTTTTTTAATATTGAGATTAAAAAGCCCAAATCCAAAAACCAACCACCAAATTTGCATGTGGGTGGCTCCCTTGCAGGGCAGTTCTGAAGGAGAAGTGCCTCGGACAGCTGGTGGCTGCACTTGCCCTGGATTCTGTGCTGGGACAACCTGGGGCCACCTTTCAGAAAGGCCACGGGGAACTGTGTTTAAAACTGGTGGTCATACTGGGAGGAAGTTTCCCTTGAGGTTGAGTTGATTATTTCTTGTGGAGAAACTTCATTTTATTGCCTAAAAAAGAAAATGAGAACATTCATCAGGTGGACAAAGAAAGGTGAGTTACACGTTGCCCCTCTTCACCCCAGGTATGGGCTAGGTGGCACACGTCTGAAATCCCAGAGACCTGGGAAGCTGAGACAGCAAAATCACAGGTTCAAGGCCAGCCCAGGCAATTTAGTGAGATGGTTAGYAATTAAGTAAGACCTTGTCTCAAAAAATGAAAAGGAGTGGGGGGCTGAAGTTGTGGCTTTCCTAGCACGGGAGAGGCACTGAGTTGGATTCTCAGCATTACATAAAATAAATAAATAAAATAAAGGTATTATGTCCATCTCTAACTAAAAAACAAAATCAAAAACAAACAAACAAACAAAAAGAGTGGGTAGGTAAGTGATAAAGCACCAGGTTCAATTCCCTGTGCAGCAAAAAAGGGGAAAAATGATATCACCCCAGATATGGTGCTATCCGGAGCCTCCCCTTGCTCTGGAGAGGTGGGGGTTCCCCTTTTCAGAGTTGCCCCTCTGGCTTCTCAGGTACCTGCTGCTGCTCTGATGGCAGGAGTCTAACACTTGGGGGTCTGAAAGGAAGACCCCCTGAGCTGTAGAGGGTGCTGGTGTCTGGTGTGGTTATGACGAAGCCCGGAGTGGCACACTTCCCAGGAGCCACCCAGGGACACTCCAGCAGCTGGAGGTACTGGGCCCCTCTTGGGGGCTGCCTCCTGGGACCTCCCTCTTCAACGCTTTTGCTCTCTTCCTCCTCATTCTCCCTTTCCCAGCAAGGGCCTCCGAGCCAGGGGAACTGCAGTCCTGCCGCTGCCTACCTGTCCACTTCAGGGGCATCTGGAGGCTGCTCTGCTGCCTCCTACAGTGCTCTGTCCCCAGAAGACTAGGAGTGAAGGCGACAATAGTGAAAGAAGAGCAAGACAGCCGGGGGTGGGGGGCAATAAAGGAGGGATTTGCTTCCTTGGTCTCCATTTTGGGGGCAGATTAGGATAGGAGGTTGAAATGACCATTTTGCCCTCCAGGCGGGGGTGGTGGAGCTCTGGATTATTCAGGGACAGGCTCTGGCTCCAGGGATGAGACCCAGGCTTACCCAGTCCTTTCAGGAACTTATTGACACCGCTGTGCTCTCCGCTGGGGAGTGTCTCCAGATACTCTTGGGCTCGGACCTCAAACAGACCTGGCAACAAGAGATGGCCAGCCACTTTAGTTCCTCCGCATTGCACTTCCACACCAGCCCATTTCCTCCCCACCACAGGAAAGAGCAATCTTGCTTCTGAGATGAAGCTGATCCTATAAACATGCTCTGAATCATGAGTTTTATAAGGGTTTTTTTTCCCCCCTCTTACAATTGCCCAACCTTGCACAATAGACGTTTTTGGAAAGCTATAAAGCAAGCTCATACGTGAAATCCCATTTTTACTCAACAGACACCCTATGCCAGGGTCTCGGGTTCAAAGAAGAACCAGGAGGAGTCCCTAAATTCTCCCGTTTCCGCATACTTTCCCAATGGGGACCCTGGCCAAGTGGTGCAGTTCCCTGGAAATCGGGCCTGCCTGGGGCCTCAGGGAGGCTAGACATGCCTCTCTGGGCCCCTGCGCTCTGACCCCACATGCTGTGCCTTTCTGAGGACTCTTTAGGGACAGGGCTTCCTACCACATTCCTGTTAAGCCTTTGTCTCCCACCTCTCTTACCACACAGTGAACTGTAAACACTTTTCCATGTTCCCAGTAGTCTTCTATTTAAAAGAACTCTTTCTTGGGGTGTGTCCTGTGACTTCTACTTTCTGACCCATTTTCTTCTCCTTTCAAGTACCCCTTATCAGAACCACCTGAAGCCTGCCTGATCTGCCTTTCCTATTAAAGGACTGTGGGGATGCAGGCCTTGGGTGCTCTACTCAGTTTCTGAGTTCACAGACCAGAGTACACCCTGCCTGGCTCCAGGTGCTCACGTGAACCTTCCCTGCTGGCTGCACAGCATCCCTGGGGAAGGCAACACCTTTCCCTGCCCAGGTTTAACTCCCATCTACCACTGCTCTGCAAGCATTTCTAGATTTTAGATTCCCCAGAGGGCTTAAGACAAGGTGCAAAAGAGACTGGGATGGTTTCCCCTCCTCTCTCCCTGGAAGTCGAGTGGAACCCAGGCAGACAAAGGCAGGGACAAGCTGCCCAAGTCTGTGGGCCCCGTTTCCCTTTCCACTGTCCCCTTCCCATCTGTGGAGAGCAGGCAAAAAGAAGAGTGGAGGGGAGTGGAGGCCTGAAAATAGGGGAGGAGAGGGTGTTCCTGGGTTTCATCAGGAAGGACAAATAAAAAGGAAGGGGACCTTGCCAGACGCTGGAATGTGGCTCTACAAGAGGCTGTGAGGGGCCAGGCATGGTGGCTCACGCCTGTAATCCTAGATGCTGGGAAGGCTGAGGAAGGAGGATCTAGAGTTCAAAGCCAGCCTCAGCAAAAGTGAGGTGCTAAGCAACTGGGTGAGACCCGTCTCTAAATAAAATACAGAATAGGGCTGGGGATGTGGTTCAGTGGTTGAGTGCCCCCCCCAGTTCAATCTGGTTCCCAAAACAAAAACAAACAAACAAACAAACAAAAAAGGCCAGGAGGGAGGCAAGAGAAGCGAGGGAGGGGCAGGGCGGGCCAGAGGGGTGATTTCACAAGCTCCGAGGCCTGTGAAGGAGCTCCCCTAGGAGGCCAGAGGGAGCCAGAAAACTGTTGGCCTCTGCGCCCAGGCCCGTGACCCTCCTCCCTGCTCTTCTGGAATCTCCAGCTCACTGGCCCCAACGCGGAAGAATCCCTAACCCTTGGCATCCTGCCGGCGCAGCTCCCGCTCCTGGATGAAGCCCCGAAACATCTGGGTCTCCATGAAGACCTCCAGGAAGCGGCGGAGGCTCTTGGAGGAGACAGCTTTACGGAAGGCCTCTCGCTGCAGGGTCCTCTCCTCGCGCTCCCCGGGCGTCAGGAACAAGGAGTAGTGGCCCACGATCTCCACGAAGAAGCGCACAAAGGCTTCGGACACCACCTGGTTCAGGGGGCTGGCATCAGGGCCTGGCAGGGAGGGGAAAGGCCAGAGGCAATGAAGGCAGACGGCCATGCTAGTGCCTGAGTGAAGCCAATTAGTGACCAAGTGATTGCTAGCTGTGGCAAACTGTCATCTAGGAAAAGTTACCTAACGTTAAGTCATTTCTTTCCCCCTTTACACAGATATTTTAGTGCCCAAATGGGGGAGATGGAAAAATTTCCCCAGGGGAATGCGGGCCATTGTGCAGCTGCTCTGAGGCCCCTGTGGTCCTGGAGGGAGCTGCCTTTACCAGCTGTGCTGTCCAGGGGCCCTCCATCCTGGTCACAGGCCAGCTCATTCCGCTGCTCCAGAAGGTGTTCCAGGGCCACCTGAAGCTTCCGGGGTAGGATGGAATCCTCGTCCTCCATCTGTAAAGCAGAAGCAGGTGGGCYACTGTGCTAGTGCTCCTGGGAGCCACCACACAATGGCCATAGGTGGGCAGGCTGGCTCACTTCCCAGGTTAGTGGAAGGAACAGGATTTGGAACCAGCACCTGAGGTCTGAGTTCCAATCCTACTTTTTATAAGCTGTGTGAGCCTCAGTTTCTCCTCCATTTGTAAAATGGGCTACCAATCAATATGTGCCTCATCTCCAAGATTAAAAGCATACAATTCTCTTGTGCAAGTGCTTGGCACTTCACGGACACTCAATAGGTATTTTCCACTGTCCACACCCTGTAGGGCAGCTTGTGTTCATGGGGGAATTCTGTCCAGTTCAAAAGACCAGTGTGATCCAAAGCTGGCCTTGTGATCTGGGCTCAGATGGGAGAGCCTCAGTGAGGGCCAACTCTGGGGCTTCTGGGAGTGAAAGCAGATGAACTAAGGACGAAAGGCATTGACGCTACTCAGTTCTTCCTCAGGGTGCTTACTCCAAGCTCACAGCTACCCATCAGAATGCCTAGGAAGACTTTCTGTCATCATTTTTTTTTTTTTTTTTTGCGGGGTGGGTACTGGGGATTGAACTCACAGGTACTAGACCACTGAGCCACATCTCCAGCCCTATTTTATATTTTATTTAGAGACAGGGTCTCACTGAGTTGCTTAGCACCTTGCTTTTGATGAGGCTGGCTTTGAACTCTAGATCCTCCTACTTCAGCCTCCTGAGCCACTGGGATTACAGGCATGAGGCATGGTGCCTGGCTCTGTCATTATTATTTATTATTGCTTTGCCATTTTAAATGGCACTGGGTATTGAACTTGGGGGTACTTATCACTGACCCACATCCCTAGCCCTTTTTTTTTTTTTAAATTTTGAGACAAGGCCTTATTAAATTACTGAAGCCCGCCTCAAACTGGTGATCCTCTTGCCTCAGCCTCCTCACCATTCCCAGCCTTTCTTTGTTATTCTTTGCAAGATCTAATGGGAGTTAGACTTCTTGAGTAAATGATAAAAAGAAAATAAATGTGCACTGCTTTCCTCTGATAATGAAAGTAATTTAAAATCGCTACAGAAAATATGTGAAGCTGGGTGTGGTGGTGCATGCCTGTAATCTCAGGGACTCAGAAAGCAGAGGAAGGAGGCCAGTCTGGTCAACTCAGGGAGACCCTGTCTCAAAAAAGAGAAAGAAAAAGACCTGGGGGTGTAGCTCAGTGATAAATCAGTGGTAAAGTACCCCTGGAATCAATCCTTAGTACACACAAACAATGACAAAAAGAGAAATAAAGAAATATATGAAAGTTTATTAAAACAATTTAAAATCACTCATAACTTGTCTCTCAGTCTCCCTTCCTAACAAATCAGCATTAATGTGTCAGTAAGTTTTTCTTGAAATCATCTTTCTTTTTGCAGTGTTTGGAACTGAACCCAAGGCCTCGCACAGCAGTCTACCATTGAGCTTCACCCCAGACCCTCCTTTCAATTTTCAAAAAAAAAATTTATTTGTACTTTAATATTTATAGGTTTCCTTTTAATCTTTTAAAAACACATATATAGGGCTGGGGATGTGGCTCAAGCGGTAGTGTGCTCGCCTGGCCTGTGTTCGGCCCGGGGTTCGATCCTCAGCACCACATACCAACAAAGATGTTGTGTCCGCCGAGAACTAAAAAAAAATAAATATTAAAAATTCTCTCTCTCTCTCTCTCTCTCTCTCTCCTCTCTCACTCTCTCTCTAAAAAAAAAAAAAATTCTCTCTCTCTCTCTCTCAAAGAAACAAAAAAACCCACATATATATCTTCCTTCTATAAAAATAATGCTTACAATTTGTGTCCTGATTTTTTTTTTTGTTTTGTTTTTTGGTACCAGGAATTGAACCCAGGGGCATTCAACTATTGAGCCACATGCCCAGCCCCTTTTTAAATTTTTTTATTTTGACACAGGGTCTCGTTAAATTGCTGAGGCTGGCTTTGAACTTGTGATGCTCCTGTCTCAGCCTCCTGAGTCACTGTAGACTAGACATGTGCCACTGCACCTGATTCTGAATGTTAGAAAATCTTTTCGTGTCAGAGCACACAGAATCACCCTTCTTTTCGCCTCTTGGCCTGAGGCTGTCTTTGTCCAGCTCCACCAGCAACCCCAGGCCCACCACAGAGCCTGCCCAGAGCTAGGGAGCTGAACCCCAGGAAGAGACAGGTAAGAAAAAGGGAGCAGCAGGTGGGGCTGGCCCTCGCACTCACCTGTCTGAGGAACCGACTGTTGATGAGGTCGACCACCAGGACCTACGGGACAGAGGAAAAGGGACAAGTATTGTCACCAGGGCCTCTGGGATAAAGGTGGACTCAGCCTTCTTCCTCCTTGGCCAAGAGGCATCTGGGGTGAAGGGTGGGCCATGCTGGCCTCCTGGTGTTGCGACTGCCACCACAGATGGCGGACAGGGAGAAAGCAGCCACCAGGTCCCTCTGCTGCCTGATGGCTCCCGTCTGGTTCTGATGGGCCAAGACAGAAGTTCCTGGGTTCTTTTTTAAAGTGTGCTGGTTATTGAGGTGGGTAAAAGATGCTGAAGGTCCCCACTTGTTCCTGTCCCTCTCAGTTTTGCCACTCCCCACCTGGGGCTTCTCCTTCTTTCTTCCCAGTTGTCCACTGAATCTTGTCACTTCTCTCAAAGGAACAGGAGAGACAAGCAGAGCGATTCAACCAAGCTGCAGGCAGCGGCCTTTCATTAGCTAAGGCTTTCAGGACAAAGCACCTTCTCCCCCCCTCCTCAGGGTCAGGGTGGGGTGCAAGGGCCAGGGTGCGGTGCAAGGGCCAGGGTGCGGGGAGTGAGGCCTAGTAGGTAAGTGCTGCCCCTGTGAGTGGGACCTTTGCTTGAGCCTAGTAGAGGCCCTGGCTATGATGGAAGAAGACAAGGGGTCTGGATGGTCTCCCAACCACAGCCAGCTACAGGTGGGCTCAGAGAACTGCTGCAGATCAGAGGGTGGTCCCACACACCCCTCTTCTGGGGCCCAAATGAACCATGTAAAGCTCACACTGCACCTGCACAAACCCTTCACCTTTAGGACCCTGGGCAATTAGAGGACCAGTATCTTGAGCCCTGGGGAAAAATAGAGAGACAGATGCTACTAGGTTTAGGACTGAATGGCACTGTTCAGTCCCCTAAGGTTTGGTCTCTGACTGCTGGAAGTCCCCAGGACACAGGGGTAGCCACTTTAGAGAAAGGGGTTGGGATTAAATAACTCCAGAAGTGCCAAGCAGCACTTTCTTCCTGAGATACTAATCTAAGAACCAGAGTTTGACCATTAGCAATGTTCTGGAGGTTGTTTTTTTAACTGAAATGACAAAGGACCTTTCATAGGTGTACAGTCATTGTCTGTTTTGTCATAAGATCAAAAATGCATTTGAAGTTGGGTATGGTGGCACATACCTGTAATCTCAGGGACTTGGAGGTTGAGGCAGGAGGATCACAAGTTTGAGGCCAGCTTTGGCAATTTAGTGAGGCCCTAAGCTACTTAGTGAGACCTTGCCTCAAAATAAAAAATAAAAAGTGCTGGGAGTGTAGTGCAGTGGGAGAGTGCCACAGGTTCAATTCCTTGTACCACACAAAATAAAAAATACATTCCAGTTACTGCTAATTCTTTGTGTTTGTTCCTCCCTTTGCACTGGGGGTGGGAGGGAAGAGGGGGACAGGACAAACGGCTGTGTCTGAAGGCAGAGCTAATGGCTTGCTAGGTTGTTCACCGTTGTCCTTCTCAATGGCTGCTCCACTCTTCATTTTATTTATTTGTATTTTACTTTATTTTTTGCAGTTCTGGGGACTGAACCCAGGGCCTGCCTGGCAACAAGTTAGGCAAGTACTCTCCCACTGAAATACCCCCCCAACCTCAGTCATTTAATTTAGAAAGAAAAACACAGTGTTTGTAGCCACCCGAGGGTGGACTAAACCAGACCTGAGCCAGGACCTGTCACAGGCGGAGCAGTGGCTGGACAGCTTTCTGCCTGCTCCCGACACTCCTGGCTCTGAAGAGCCTTCACTTGCTGGCACAGCCCTCCCAGTACTGCCCCCCTCCCCCGGCTCTGTGCACCCCACTGGGGATGGGCTGGGGCTCACCTCTTCCAGTGGCAGCTCCCTGAGCAGCGGCAGGGAGCTGGACAGCAGCCCAATGAGGAAGGGGGTGGGTGAGCACGCGATGTCGATCATGGCAGGTGGCAGCACGGGGATGTAGGTGTGCTGCCAGCTGAAGGGGTAAATGAGCGCCACCATGGCATGACAGCACTTGGATAAGGTGCTGCAGAGGGAGAGATGGGAAGGAAAGCCCGGTTCAGCTAGGATGAGGACAGGCAGCCTCATGGAAGGCTGGAGAGGAGCGTCTGGACTTCTCCCCAAGGCATGCTGGTTAGAAGCATCACACAGGGATTACACATACCCAGTCACTCAGTCCCAGCACCGGGATCGGAGATGCTCTGAGCCTATGCACAAGGCCTTAGGATACAGCTGCAGGGGCTGATGCCCTGCCCAGATAACCAACCCAAGAGTGTCCTTCCCTGTGAAAGCCACATCCACCCTTGTACAATTTTGATGAAAATCATACAAACAAAACAAAACAATGCCCCCACCCAAACAAAACCCCAAATCACTGCTACTGTTTGGATGTGATCTGTCCCCCAAGGGTTCATGAGCTGGCAGCCTGGCCCCCGTGTGGCAGTGGTGAGGTAGTGGAAACTTTCAGAGGGGGGCCTGGGGCAAGGTCATCAGTGATGGGGCTCACCACCTCACGGAGTCGAGCTGTGCCCAGGAAGGGGTTTGGTGTGCTCCCACCAGAGTGAGCTGTTATAAAAAGACAGAGGCCGGCCACTCCCTCCTCTCTTGCTTCTTGCCAACTCATTGCCCCTCATGTATTGGGCCAGTTTCCAATTTTCCATCACATTGATGGGGCCATGGAGACCCTTGCCGGGGAGCTGACACCATGTTGTTTGGACCTTTCAGCCACTGGAATTTTGAGTTGGATAAACTGCTGTATTTTATAAAGTATTAAGCCTCAAGAAAGCCTGGATGCAATCAGGGAAAATGAGGATTTATCCTTTGGTACTTACAGGACAACAATCCAATTGTTCCATTTTGTTTTCCTTTTTTTTGAAGTTTTTAAAAAAATACCTTTTTATTTATTTATTTATTTTTATGTGATGCTGAGGATCAAACCCAGGGCAAGCGCTCAACCACTGAGCTACAACCCCAGCCCACAATTGTTCCATTTTGTAAAAGTGAAACTCATATACAGTTACCCCTTACCTAGAATCCTGACCAAAGGACAATATGCTAAATAACTTAGAGGTAACCCTTTAAAGTACTAAAACAAAACATGGAGAAATATTGGGAATCTCTCTCTTTGATTCTCTTGCTTTTTTTTTTTTTTTTTTGTTGCAATGCTAGGGATCAAACCCAGGGCCCCAAACATGTCATCTAAGTGCTCTACCACAAAGCCACATCCCCAACCCTGGAAATCCCTCTTCCAAACAAATGATCATGGCTGGGCATAGTGGCACATTCCTATAATCCCAGCGGCTTGGGAGACTGAGGCAGGAGGATGATGCGTTCAAAGCCAGCCTCAGCAAAAGTGAGGTGCTAAGCAACTCAGTGAGACCCTGTCTTTAAATAAAACACAGTGCCCTTGAGTTCAATCCCAGGTACCTTTAAAAAAAAAAAAAGTCAAAGCAGAACAAAATAAAACAACTCAAACTACTTAGTTTTCAATGTGTTCCTCTTGAATTCAGCACCCCCGTGAAACATGTTTAAAATATACATTAGCACATGGATAGAAGAAATTGTAGATCTATTGTACAATATGCAATATGATCACTATAGTTAATAATAACAATGTACCACATTCCCCCCCACACCCCAGTACTGGGGATGGAACCCAGGGGCACCCACTGTACCACTGAGTTATAACCCCCAGCCCTATCTGTCTATCTATTGGTACTGGGGATTGAACCCAGGGATGCTCTACTACCGAGTGACAATCCCAACCCTTTTTATTTCTTATTTTGAGACAGCCTCTTGTTAAGTTGCCCATGTTAGCCTTGAATTTGCCATCCTCCTGTCTCAGCCTCCTGAGTAGCTAGGATTACAAGTGTGCATCACCTCAGTGAGTGAGTGTGAACCAGGTGGAAGAGAAGGTGGTTGGACTGAGGTTAGGAAACGTGCTAAGCAATKCTGGCGCTAGATACATAGGATGCGTAAATAAAAGTCACAGATGAAATTCATTCAGTGAACTGGAAGACGTTGAGCTAAGGGGTAACTGCACTCCGTTCTGACGGGGACAACAGGTATACTGCTGGCTGTGTAGGTTAGGGGCTGTCAGATCTGCCCCTGCAGCTGGAGCCAAGTTTCCACACCTGGTTATCATCACCACCTCTGTAGGTAGCTGGAGCACAAAGGGAGCGCTGGGCACACAGAGCAGAGCAGCAGGCAGGCATCTATTCGAGGAGTGTCTCATTTCTCTGGCTCTCTAGCCCACGTCATTATTCTAAAAAAAATTGCCTTGTGCAATACAAGAAAGGAAAGGTCAAATCCTGCAAATAATACAGTTGGTGGTGGCAGCAGTTCCCCGAGAGGTAGAGAAGAGAAAACCGTAGTGAGGGTAGGGTATGTCTTCCTTAATCGGTGCTGCAAGTTCTAATGAAATTTTCCTCCCTGACTTGAGGCAGGAGGGTGAGCACTGCTGGGACCAGGGGTCTCTTAGGAATATGCAAAGGGAATGGTTCTGGGAGGCTGAGGGTGACTTTTCAAGCCAGCTGGGAGCAGTCTCCCTGGGCATCAGCTGGTTGGAGGAGGGGCTGTCTTTGAAGGAAGGGTGAGGAAGAGCATCCTGGCAGCTGGCTCACATTACAGTGTGGGTGGAGGAAAGAAACACCAGCTCCCACAGCTGTGACCAACTGTACAGAAGAGGGAGAGGGAAGAGAAGGCCCCAGTGGGAGGGTAGTGGGCCACGGGGCTCAATGGTGGGCATAGCAGGAAGGGTCAGGCCCCTGAGCGTTTTGCTGTTGGGTGGTAGTTTCTGAGGGCTGAAGGCTGAAAAGTATTATTCCAGAATATCAGGATGCACTTGTGAAACGCTAAAGTTTCCCTGGAGCAGACACTTCCATTCTGGTCCCTATTAAGCCTCTGTGCCATATTTAGGGATCCTGTACCCTGCAGGCTTCCAATTCATCTATGGACCAGTGACAATCTAGCACAGAGCTTCCTTAAGACACTGTCAAAGAATCAGTAAGTTTTCCTAACTAACTAGTTAGGAACTGAGGGCTGATCTAGTCAGTGCCCTCTAGCCCCCCAGCTCCTGTGGGCATCACTCCCAGGAAGAGCAGTGAAAGGTAAACTGGGGTCTGATCTTGGGCCTGGTGAAGCCTTGCAGAAAGTGGGTGTCACCAAGAAGCGGCTGCCATGTTTCCATGACTGTACTTCGAAACCCTGAAGTATCACACAACTATTCCTCAAAGGCTATAGAAAGATAACAGGTTAGCMAACAATGAGGAAAAAATTGCTCTTTCTGAGAGCAAAATATCTGAATAGGATATTTTGAATTGGAAATGATGGAATGATGTACTAGACTACAGCATACTTAGTAAGAATACTAGATTTCAATGGAGTGAAATCAATAGCTGAAATTTAGGTGGTATTTGGGTTAAAAACAATAGATAATGGTTTATAAATAAAGCTTTAATTAACATTTAAAAAAAAAAAAAAGAAACCCTGAAGTAATGTGTCGCTGAATTTACAAGGACACAGGCTGGGCCTCAGGAAAGCCAATTCTGTCACCTCCTGTGTAATCTCAGGAGGAGCTCTTCATGTCTCTAGAGTCTCCTGTAAAAGGTAATCTCCAATGTCCTTCCAGCTTAACATCTACAAACTCTCCTCATAAGACAGAAAACAAGCCAGGGACTGGAAGTGGGAGTTTTGTTTGAGGCCACAAAAAGAACTAGGGTGTCACAGGAAGGTCACTGTAGAGTTTGTTAGCAGAGTCCGGACAGAACGATGGTGACATCTCACTCTAAGAAACTGATAACTGAGTCTGAGTGGTTTTGAGGCACTGAAGTTAAGTCCCAAAGGGGAAGAGCTGACACAAAGCTAGTGTGGCTGGGTGGGAGCTGAATCCAACAGAAGAACCGGAAGATGCTTTCGGCCAAGGACATGTGAGTGATGGCTTTGGATTAGAAGATTATAGTATCTGTGGCTATTTATCCTTTAGGTCTTGCTTCAAATGGTATCTTCTTGGTGTTCGTGTATAAAAATAGATGGCTAATACTAAGTGTTAAGTCAGAACTTGCCATTATGATATTAAAATTGGTTTCTTCATAGAAGTTTGCTGAATTAAATGTATTTGTCTCCAAGACTTTGTCAACTACTGAGGACCAACCTGACCTGTGTATTCTGGCTACCAAGCACCAACGGGGCAGCAAACTCATCTGCCTAGGGGACATATTCTCAAACCTTGTGTTCTGAGATGGCAAACATTGCCAAGGGCAGCTGATTCTAGAAGATCATTTAAGTTTATGAAAACTGATGCAGTTAACCATACGTCAAAACCAAGGCTTAAACGCCAATAGTTGCCAAGATCTGATCACCTAATCCTATTTGTCATTAGCCAGTAGGCTTTCACTCGGCTTATGGTTTATTGCACTATGAAAAGAAAATAACCTTGAACATTAAAAGCTTTGTGCCATCTAAAATTCTTTATGTGAACTTGTTTAAGTTCTGATTTTATTCAGCCTGGTCTATAGGTTTAGCCAAAACTTTCTGGAACTAAAATTAGTAAACTAAAAAACAAAATGTTTATCATAGGGAAGATGAAGATAGGAGTAATATTTATCTGGGTTGTTATGGCAACAGAACAAGCCATCACAACAACATTCTTTCTTTTCCATCTGTCAAACTTTCGCTTGACAGACCTTTAAAAACACTCAATATCCACCCTAAAGATGAAACAGAGCAAAAATGTTATTCTAAATTTGATAGATTTTTGGCTTGACTTAAAACCCTTTTACAACTCATACAGTATTTGCCACAGCTCCCTGCAATTTCCTCTTGCAGTGGGCTGACTCCCCAGCAGTGACAAGGAAATACATTGTGTTTGTGTTTGTGGGGGACAGTGCTAGGGGCAGGCTAAGGCCCACTCTGGGATGTCATGGGTGTACTGAGTTTGTGAGATGTCCTGTTCTCATGCTCTGTTCTGTGTCCTCAGTAAGACTGGGGCCACAGAAAGAAAAGAGAAAAATAAGGAGGCTTCCTCCCACTTTTAGCTGAATGGGGCTAAGGATTAGCATGTGTGCAGTGCACAGAGTCCTAAGGATGAGGGGAGCAGCTGTAACTTACCACTTTTTTCACAGAATTTGCCAGATCAGGAAACCTGCAGCCAGTCACTGTTCCCCTAACCCTTGTTTGTCGAGGCCTGGCCAAGAACCTTTTAATTCCCTACAGCTACTCTTCCATAAATCCAACAGAATAGGGTGGATACAGATTTCTCTACATGGTCCTCAGAGTCAGAGACTTTTGGAAAATTTCATGGAGCATGGTGCCAGAAGGCCTGGAGCAGTCTGGCCCATGGAGTCTAGGAATTTCAGAGCTGAGTCTGTGGGGGCCACTCAGTCACACCTACCTTACTGTAGCCCCTGCTGGAAGGCCAAAGGCCACTGAGGGAAGGAAGCCTCTGAGGAAGAAAGCTTGGTCTTCCTGGTGTCAGCTTCAAAGTGACTGCTGAGCTTCTAATGGCTCCTAGTGGCCTGCTTTACAAAGCTTTTTCTTCTACATTTCTGTGGACAGATAGAGTTCCATACCCTGCAGGTCACCCACCCTCAGATCTTGGTGGCCTGGCCAGCTCCCTGGTCTTTTCTGGAGTCAGACACCTCTCTCACTACTGGCTTCCTTGTGCAAAGTGATTGAACCTCTGCGCCTTTCAGGGTTCTGATCAGAACACCCACCTGACAGGGCTGCGGGGAGCACTGAAGAATGCAGGTGAGCCTCTGAGAAAGCGGCCGGCCCAGCTGTACCTGCTGTCCTTACTGTGATCAGGTTCACTCATGCTTGGTTTTCTTCTCTTCCTATCTTGGAACTCTTTGGGTCTTTTAATATCTATTTTCCTACCCCTTCAAATCTGCATGAGGCAGTATAAGATGGAAATGTAGTTTACTGGATAAGAAAGAGAACACATAGGGAAAGAGCAGCTGCCTGCAGGGAAAACAAGACACCAGAGTGCCCAGAAAGAACCACTAGGGGCCTGGGCTCGGTAAACCCCTGTGTCACAAATGAGGAGACCCAGGGCCCAGGGCTAAGGAAGTTCAGGGTCTTTCCTCTGTGAGTGTGGTAAGAGAGGGACATGCATGACTGGGAGCTGTAAAAGGTATAAAAAATGCAATTCAGGGGGCTGAGGTTGTACCTCAATGGTAGAGTGCTTGCCTAGCATCTATGAGGCACTGGGTTAGATCCTCAGCAGCACATAAAAAAATATAAATAAAATAAAGATAAAAGCTGGGTGTGGTGGTGCAAGCCTGTAATCCCAGTGGCTCGGGAGGCTGAGGCAGGAGGATCGCAAGTTCAAAGCCAGCTTCAGAAAAAGTGAGACACAAAGCAACTCAGTGAGACCTTGTCTCTAAATAAAATACAGAATAGGGCTGGGATGTGGCTCAGTGGTTGAGTGCCCCTGGGTTCAATTCCCGGTAAAAATAAAGATATTTAAAAATGCAATTAAAGCATTTTACACACACGTGCGCACACACTGTACCATGGCCTAGCTCTGCCCAGAGGAAACACTGAAATTATCCACGTTCCAGCTGTTTCTTCCTCCCTTACAAAAATCCACTCCACAGCACCTAGGATTTAACAGTTGCTTCAAAAGAAGCACATGACGTGTAGCGTGTGGCATAGTGAGAACTGCAGGCAGCACAGCTGACAGCTTACCTGCCCCTCTCTTGGGCACGTGCTGTTTGAAAGACTACATCTCTAAGGGTACGATCCCAGGCAAGGAGAACAGGTGGCAGGGCAAGGAGACAAACTCAAAGTCCCTTCTATGAAGCCCTGTGGGTAACCTGTCTCCTCCATAAGGCTGCCCCAGACAGGGTAGGGAGTGGGGCCGGGGAAGAGACTCTGGGCAGGGTCCATTCCTTGTTCCTCTGTCCTTCCTCACAGCAGCTTTGTGGAGGGGTTGGACCAGCATCCAGGCTGTCCACCCAGAAATTTGTCCAAGGGTAAGGTAGAGGTGGTTGTGTCCTTCCCCAGACACCTTGTAGAAAGCACTGAGCCTTCTGAGATTACCTCTACTGCCCCTCAAGGAGATATGCATCTTTACATTTCCACCCCTTTCTGTTCCTATCTCTCCTTTCACTGCACTTTGTCCAGGAAACTAGATGGTTTCCTGCTCTCATGAGGGTGGGGTACCCCCTGGTTGCTCCACTCCAGCAACACTCATCAACTCAGGCATTTTCTCAGTCTGGGCCCTCCCCAAGTCTAACATCTTCATCCCAGATACGAGCTCTCCGGGGACTGTGTCCCCAGCTCTATTCCGAGCAGACACCAGGTTTGCTCAGCTGGACTTCCACTTCCTGCCTAGGTCTTTCTGAAATCTATCACTTTTCTCTCCCCCAAATCCAAGCCTGAGAATCCAACTGTTTGGGGAGAATGAGGGGCTGAGTGAGCCTTCCAGAGAATCAAGATGGTTACTATAGTGCTAATGAAACCCCATCCTGGTCACTGAAGGGTTACTCCTCATCCTTAGTATCCAGGGCCCAACCTTGAGAACTCTTTGGCTGAATTCCCCAGTGCCCAGGGAGCCTGGAGAGCTGCCAAGCACCCAGCACCAGCTGCAGGCTAAAGACAGGGCCTGCTTCCTGACACAAGTGCACAGGGAGTACAGTAACTGTGACATTTAAAAGTGAACTCAAACACAGGGTGGGGGCCATCGGGGAATAGCCAAATGGCTGCTGTCCAAAGAGGAGCATCATGAAGGTGACCAGATGGCTGCAGTGGAGGGGAGGGCTGGATGCCATTTCCTCCCACGCTCCCTGATGAATTCCATGTTGATACATTTTGTCCTTTCCATTCTTTCTTTTCTTCTTCTCTTTTGTTTTCTGCAGTTCAGTCCTATTTCCTCTTTAAGCCACTGTTACTTGGTTTCTCTTCTTCTGCCATATCTTCTTTCCAGATGCACCTCTCAGTGGCCCCCTCTGCCTGGCTGGCTGGAGGACTCCACACCTTGGCCCTTCCTGGAGCTGTAGCTCCCACCTGCACGCACACTTCTGGCTTCTGTGCCCTCAGTCCAAAGCGAAGAAGGTAAGAAGGTTAAGAGCCGGTGTTTTGAAATGACGAAAAAGCAAGATCTTCTTTTGCTGGAAGTTCAGAGATCACCCAAACACCTCTCTGCATTTCTTCCAGATCTTCTTTGATCTGTAAATCATGGATTATGACCACGGGGATTGGGTGGCATCCTGAGGGGCAGTGAGTGCTGTGTATGTTGTGTGATTTCCTTTAGTAATGAGGAGAGGGACGCCTTTTAGGTGAGTCTGCACTCTTTCCTCTGCCCTGCAATCCTTCCACCTCTGCCTGCTTCACCTTCTCTGTTCTAGCCACAGAGTGCTCCTCTGCAGTCCTGAATGTGATGTGTGAGGCTTCCTGCCTCCTTGCCTTTGTACAGAGAGTTCCCCTGGGAACAAGGGCCCTCCATCCACTTCCACAACTAACTGCATCTAACGAGCCTTCCCAACATGGTGTGTCCAGTTACTTTCCTGTTCCCCTCATTGGACTGAGAACTATGGACAGGTCTGTGCCTTTTACCCCACTGTTTTTTTCACACATAACAGAGTGCCTAGTGCACAACAGAACCTGTGGCAAGTAGGCAGGGAGCCTGCCTTGGCTTAGGTCACTAGTGTCTTCTAGGCCTTCAACATCAGCAGCCACTGCCTCCTACTCTTACCCACAGGAGCTCTCCCCTGAACCTGGCCTGTTCTACACACTTCAAGTCTAAGGCCATTCACACACTCCAGCAGAAGGATCCAAAGTGGTACCTGAGCTTGTCTGCAAGGAATATGACCCTCCTTTCCAGAAGCAGGGAGGCAAAAACACAGACCAGGTGGCGGACACTGAGGCAGGAGAAGAGAGACTCAAAATCCACGTGTTCAAGCCGGGAGTCCAGTGGGCGGCACAGCTCGATCACCTGCCAGGGAACAGAGCAGCTATGAAGGCAGGCCACCTGTCAGCCAGACCTTTCCCAGGTGTACACAGTCCCTGGGGCTCTGAGGTCCCCAGCATGGATGACCCACTGGCAGGGGAACAGGAAGAAAAGAGAGGAAAACAAAAGGGACTGGGGAAGGAGAAGGAGGTAGTTGGGGAGGGAAGCAAATGCCTCACATTCAACAGAGGACAGTTTGAATGGAGGCCAGAAAAGTGGATGTCAGAATCAGTAGCCCTTTACCCAAAATATCAGGAGGCTCCCCCTTGCTAAGAACACATCTAGACTCCCCATGGAGAATTCTCACTACTAGAAAATGGCCTAGACTTTAGTGTCCCCACTGAAAATGCCATTGTCTCACGGGGATTATTACCTGCTGGAACAGAATCACAGGCACAGGCCTGAGCAGCACTACTAAGACGCACTTCTTGAGAAGGCATTTCTTTCTTTTTTTCTGGCTCCAACTTGTGATCCTCCAGCCACAGCCTCCCAAGTAGCTGGAATTACAGGTGTGGACCACCATACCCAGCCAGATATTTCTTAATTCTCCCTAGTCCCATTACAATCATGTTCTGATACATTTTCATCTATACTCAGTGTGTACATCATTCCATAGTTGCTGTTCCTGAATCTATCAAGTTGCTACTCATGTGTTTCTCTTTTTTGAAGAACTGCGGTTTGAACCCAGGGCCTAATGCATGCTAGGCAAGCGCTCTGCCACTGAGTGACATTCTCACCCCATGTTTTTCCCCTTTAAAGAGCTGACTCCTCCATGGTGAGCTGAACAGAGACTAGAATTTACTCTTAGCATTGTACATACCCAGTGTTCTATCTACACTGGGCTCACTCACGGCAAACCTCCTGCTACACCCCATGGCTGAACCACCTGTAACTGGTATGGGACGGTTTCAGGCTCGCTAGCAACAGCTCTCTGTGCTGGGAAACTGGGTTGTTTAGAATGTCCCAGTCTCAACTTCATCCTTCCTTTGTCTTCAGAGGTGACCTACTTTTGCCAGGGCCTTTGGAAGTAGAGACTTGAGGCTAAATGGGATCAGTTTTCTGATGTCCATGGGGCCACATGAAGAAGATGGGAAGGGTAAAAATAAGCTCCTTCAGGGCTGGGGTTGTGGCTCAGGGGTAGAGCGCTCACCTGGTGCATGCGAGGTCCTGGGTTCAATCCTCAGTACCTCATAAAAATAAATAAATAAAATAAAGGTATTGGGGCTGGGGATGTGGCTCAAGTGTTAACGCGCTCGCCTGGCATGAACGGGGTGCTGGGTTTGATCCTCAGCACCACATAAAATAAAATAAAGATGTTGTGTCCGCAGAAAACTGAAAAATAAATATGAAAAGTTATAGGGGGATGCAGATACAAAATGTAAATAGGTTCAAATAAGATTTATGAATGACTATGGGCAATTAAGAGAAGGTAAAGATGCTCAGTGACCAGTAAGGCCAACATCATGCAAAGTAATGCATGTGCCCCCCACAGCATGGTTCTTAGAGGTTGCCCTGGGGTGGAAGCCTGGGCTGAATGGATTGGACCAAGTGTGGAACTTCTGGGGAGTAATCTGGACCCATCCGAGGAGCAAGGTAGATAACTGAATTTGATTGTTTGCTGAAAGCCAGCCCTTCTGACCACTGGACTTGGTTGACTGGACCATTTTCCTAGAGAGGAAAGGAACCCCACTACTCACCTCAGTCCCTGAACCCGGCAAGAAGTTCTTAACAATAATGGTTTTGCCCAGGGCTGGGAAAGGGGCCTCCATGACACTCCTCATGAGGGGCTGGACCAGGGCAGGAGAGATTCCACGTCGTTTTTCCACCTCATCCAAGATCTGCAAGGATCAGGAAAGCAGCTCAGCGATTCCGAAGTCAGAGCACCAAGGTGTAGCTCAATCCTTGAGGGAGTGGGCCTGCCATGGTGACTCGAGAATTATGGAGAGGCCTTGCAGACCTCATCAGGCCACATTTAGATTATAAGTACTCTGATTCAAGGCATTATCGGTCCCAATTCTTCTCCCTTCTGTATCTGCTGCTTTTGCAGTGTGACTTTGTAGTTCCTAGTACTAAAGGGTGAAGTATAGTTCCTTGCCTCTTCACTCTGGGTTTGGCATGTGACTTATTGGGCTGCTGTGTTCATTCTTAGTGGGACTGATACTGTCCCCAATGGGGTAAAAACTGGTTCTTGGGAAGGTGGTAAAGAAACTTAGATGTTATAAAGGATTGTAGCCCTCTAAGGGGCCATAACACATAAACAGATACATGATTTATTTGTGGAATTAAAAATTCACTCGAAGTAGTCATCAGGGAAATGTAAATCAAAATCACAATTAGTTATCATTCACATTCATTAGAATGGCTTTATTTATTTATTTATTTATTTATTTAAAAATTTTTTAATATTTATTTCTTAGTTCTCGGTGGACACAACATCTTTGTTGGTATGTGGTGCTGGGGATCGAACCCGGGCCACACGCATGCCAGGCGAGCGCGCTACCGCCTGAGCCACATTCCCAGCCCCTAGAATGGCTTTAATCAAACAATAATAACAAGTGTTGAAAAGGAAATTGAGAAATTAGAATCCTCATATGCTTCTGGTAGGAACGTAAACTAGTCAAGCCAGTTTTAAAAACTGTGGCAGTTTCTCAAAAGGTTAAACAAAGTCACCATACAACCTAGCACATAGCCACTCCAAGGTTCCTACCCAAGAGAGATGAAAACATGTTCATATAAACATGTGTATGTGAGTACTGATCACAGCATTATTGCTGGTGGCCAAAGCTGGACTTGCTCATAGGAGCCGTTTCACCTCCAGCTCCACAGGCCTTCTCACCACAAACGCTATGACCTGCAGCCCAGTTCCACACTTGAGCACACCCCTGTGAAAGGCTGACCTGGGCAGCAATATGCAACTGTGCAAGAGCTATAAATGACCAACCTGAGTGAGAAGCAACTGCCCCCTGGTGCAGCAGAGAGAGATACCACATCTCAGATCACACTGATGGCATGAAGTCTAGCAGTTCAAGTTCTACTATGGCAAGAGGTCCCTCTATATCCCTATAACTCAGGCTTCTACTGAACTCAGAAGGAGAGTGAGCAGGAAGTAGACTTTTGTTCAGAAATGCTTCTAGGAAGCATATATCCACCCACACAGATTTAGGGACTGAAAAAGAAGCTCAGACTGAAAAATATATATATATATATACACACACACACACACATACAGGCAGGATTTAAAATAAATTAATGGATTAGATACTCATGTCTGATGAATACAGGAAATGAAGGTTGGATTATATATAGTAAAAAAAATTTTATAGTGCTAGGGATTAAATGCAGGGTCTTGAGCATGCTAGGCAAGCATTCCCCTAATGAGCTATATTCCCAGTCCCCTTTACCCAACTTTTGATATCAGCATCACATAGGATAAAAATTCTGTTCTATATCAATATAGAATATTGGGTGGATGAGCTAAATTAATATAGCATTTCTCATGTCGTGATATAGTGGTTCATTTTCCAGAATAGACCAAATTATTAATATTTTGATAAACATAGAACACTTAAAAAATAATAAATTTCACACATATGCATACAACACTAAGATTCAGAAAGCTACACATACATACATGAATCTCTGTGATTATTTTTTTTTTCCCAGCAAAAACCAATATGACAAATAATGCTTAAAAGAAGGAAAGTAAAACACCTGGCAGGTTCTGGGCAGCTCCTCTGCCTGGCCCTCCCTGCACTCCATTACCTTACCCTCTCCCCTCTTCTACTTTCTGGGCCCATCCTCCAGAACCAAAGATGAGAGGACAGAGGTGACAATGAGGTGAGGCCGGGAATAAAGAAACAAGAAGGCAAACAGAGAAGACAGTCATGAGGAGCTGGGGAGGTCTGTCCCCAGGTCCTCTGGGCCCTGCCTCTCCTTCCCCCTGCTTCCTCCCAGGGCCAAGTTCTCACCTTTGAAAAGAGACTGAAGCATCCCAGGCGGCTCACAATGCAGTACACTTCAGGAAGACGCTTCCCTTTGCCTCCAGGCTTTGAGTAGAGAAACAGAAGGACAAGAGGAGCATTAGCAACCTCCGGGAGGAAAGTCCCCTGAGCTGTCCATCATGTGCCAGAAGATCATGAGGTATCTTCTGAACAACAGTGAGGTGAGCAGTTATTAGCACCCCACATCAGTCAGGAAGCACTTCTAGCTACACATTATATATATTTTCATTCTCCCGAAGGGCCCAAATTAACGGTGCTATGCACACAGCAGGTACTCAATATGGCCTACAGAATTACAAAGGAAAGAAGCTTATTAACTTGTTTACCCATATCACTGTAGTTACTACTGAGGAGTTATTTTGAGAATATCTGTTATGATAATGATAATTCCAAGTGAAAAATAATTTCTGAAGATGTTTTTGAAAATAGACTTTTTTTTTTTTAAAGAGAGAGTGAGAGAGGAGAGAGAGAGAGAGAGAGAGAGAGAGAATTTTATTTTTATTTTTTAGTTCTCGGCGGACACAACATCTTTGTTGGTATGTGGTGCTGAGGATCGAACCCGGGTCGCACGCATGCCAGGCGATCGCGCTACCGCTTGAGCCACATCCCCAGCCCTGAAAATAGACTTTTAAGCTAATTTTCAAACCAAAAGAAAAATCAGTCTCAATAATTTAAAAGTAATTTGAACAATAGAAATTATTATCCCACTTAACTTTTTCAATTTTTTAAAAAACTTTTATTTTTGTTTTTATTTATTTTTTTATGGTGCTGAGGATTGAACCCGGGCCTCACACGTGCTAGAAGAGCATTCTACCGCTGAGACACAATCCCAGCCCCCAACATTTTCAGTTGTTAGCCACATTTTTTACCCATTAATTAATTGAACAAATATGTATTGAATACCTACTATGTGCCATGCATTACTTGACTCAACAATTTTTAGCCAATTTCAAAGACTCAAATACGCTTGCAGTGGAAAAAGATTCATCACTTCTAATGATTTTAAAAGAATGGGCCTCAAAAAGACAAATTATAAAATGTTTTAGCATGATCACTTCCTTGGAACAAGTTTCTGACTTTTAAAGGTGATTGTTCCATAGGGGCCACTCTTGAATTATTTGAGTTTTCTCTCCTTAGCAACCATTCTGAACGTTCTCACTAAGCACTCAGGGTCTGTTTAGCACATTACATTAAAATGACATATGGCTAAAGGAGAGGAGGACAGTCTTTAATTTGGTGGGAAAATAAAGTATTTTCCTTTTGATAGAAATGGAGATATTACTTCCACCTACGAAAAAAACTCAGATGAGTCCCCAAATCTGTCTGTAACGGCCCTGGGGAACCTGCCACACCTCCTATTCCTTCTCCTGCAGCATATGCACATCTCAGACCTGGCCATCCACACAGGGCAGCTGATTGAGAACAAACTACTAACCAGTAGTCTCCGGCAATAACCGAACCTTCTGCTCCCGTCTTCTCCAGTCAAGACGAACGAGAAGGTTTCACTGTGGGGGGAAGCACACAAGCTCATGAAGCAGAACAAAGCAAGAGGCGCCACACGGAGGGCACCAGGGGATATGCTGGAGGGCTGTCAAGAAGAGTTGCTTTCTAACCTGCTGTCCTTCTCTGCTGAGACTGTGGTCACAGTTTTGGAGTAAATGTCAGGCAAGCAAAGATCTATAATGCCATATGTTGTGAGAGAAAATGAGTTTTTTTTTTTTTCATGCTGAATTCTCATGTCACTCTATCACCTGAGCCATCCCATTGAATAAAATACAACTATCATTTACTATTATGGCTGAGTAGAGGGAGGAGGGATAGGCACTGTCCTCTGCAAGCCTCAGGGTGAGGGATGTGACGCCATGAGGGAGTAGCTGAGGACAGGACAGTTCTGGGCCTCTCAGCACTGGCCCTTGTGTAGCTCTCTCAGGGCACTGTTTGTATCAACTATCCTAAGGCTTGGACTGTTCTTGAAGACTGCTAGGCCACCTTCAAGGATACACAGGATAGGTGGCCTACTGAGCTTGGTCAACTGTGGAAGCAGCAGATAAGGGAAATACTGGCATCTTAAAATGTGGGCTAAAGTAGAAATGTAAACTGATCGCAATCCAAGCAACAGGTAGAAGAAATGTTTCAGGAGCACTGGGTAAGGGTGGTGACAGGCAATGCCTGCTTCCTTCTTTGCCCAGACTAAGAATTCCCTTCATAAGCCACATGAAACACACATACACCCAGACTGCCTTTGAGGCCCTATAACTGCCCATGTAGCAATGTGATCTCATTTCAGGGAAGTGTTAAAAATAGCACAGGGGAAATCTTAGGCCAGAGCCCATCAGGTTTGCTTAATGGTATGACTGACCTAGGGGGTCTGCCATCCATGATCCCATCTCTCTCTCTCTCTCTCTCTCTCTCTCTCTTTTTTTTTTTTTAGTATTTATTTTTTAGTTGTAGTTGGACATAATATCTTTATTTTATTTTTATGTGATGCTGAGGATTGAACCCAGGGACTCGCATGTGCCAGACGAACGCTCTACTGCTGAGCCACAATCTCAGCCCCCATAATCCCATCTCTTAATTCCTGCCTAAAAGTCTTTGGGGGTGAAAAGAGGAGAGGCCAGCACATACCTGGTAAACTGCTGGACAGGAGTCCAGTCCTTGGCATCAGGGAAACAGAACTGGGGAATAGCCTTCAGCTGGTCTTCAGCCTCTCTCATGAACTTGAAAGACCTTTCCAACTGTAGAGAGAAAGGTGCAAGAAGGTTCAAGAATAAACTCTGGCATTGGACAGTGACGAGACTCCTGTCTCCCACCTTTCTGCAGCTGTGACTGCCCCTTACTTAACCTCCTCCCTTAGGAAGGGTTTGTGCTCAGTCTGTGGGGCCTTTCCCCAGGGGCAGTTCCAACTGAAGTCCATTATTAAATGTGTTCCAATAGATAAGGGAAAGCTCCATGGCAAGCCCTCCAGATGGCAGGTTCCAGGATCCAGAGCTTCGAGCTGGTTTCCCAATCTCTGGGCCCACCAAAGAATGGTACACTATTTACAGTCAATATAGACACTAAAATTATATTACACTGTAAAATTCGACTAGTTTCAAAGAGTATCCAGCCCACCATTCTCACTTCAGAGATCAGAAAATACATCCTGAGAAGGTAAATGATCTGTTCAGATTGCACAGCTAGTGTTAGAGTAAGAAAAGTGACTGTAATCTCTGGCCTTTCTTTTTTTTTTTTTTAATTTCTTTTTAGAGAATTTTAATATTTATTTATTTTTTTAGTTTTCGGCGGACACAAAATCTTTGTTTGTATGTGGTGCTGAGGATCGAACCTGGGCCGCACGCATAGCAGGCGAGCACGCTACCGCTTGAGCCACATCCCCAGCCCTGGCCTTTCTTTATTCCTATTTTTTTTTTTAATTTCTCTCTGATAACCCAGCACTCAGGACAGTATCTGACACACCACAGACTGGGTGGATATCTTGTTAAGGAACAAGATGAATTAAAATCTGATCTATAGACAAAGTCCATGAGTTTGCTTCTTTTGTGAATGAACAGGAATCTGTTTGGGAGATAAAAAGGAATAATTTATAATTCTCTAATTATCATTTCTATCATTTATCTAATTATTACTCAAGCTTTCATGTCAATTTATCAATTGGTACTTTCTTTTTTGGTGCTGGGGATCGAATACAGGGCTTTGAGCATGCTAAGCCTGAACTGTACCATTGAGCTAAGCCCTGAACCCCTCAATTTGTAATTTCTTGGGGAGGGGTACCAGAGATTGAACTCAGGGACACTCGATTACTGGGCCATCCCCAGCCCTATTTTGTATTTTATTTAGAGACAGGGGCTTACCAAGTTGCTCAGTGCCTCACTTTTGCTGAAGCTGGCTTTGAACTAGAATCCTCCTGAGCTGCTGGGGTTAAACGCATGTGTCACTACATCTGGCCTTTTAATTTGTAATTTTAAGTGTTGAGAAATGTCAGGTTTTTTGTTTGTGTGTTTTTTATAGGTTTACACTTGTTAAACTTCCTGTATAAAAAGTAAAGGAAAACATTGTGCTAAAGTTACCTTCATTCATTTGCAATACCATATATCTGAATTTCTGAGGTTACGAATTTATAATGTCTAACAAATTCCTCCTGTAATAATTTCCTTCAATTTCTTATTTTGTTTCAATTGCTTGCCACAGTCTTGTAGGGGCTGGGGATATAGCTTAGTTGGTAGACTATTTGCCTCATGTGCACAAGGTCCTGGGTTCAATCCCCAGCACCACTAAAAAAAATAACAAAACAAAACCCCCCAAACCAGCCTTGCAGCTAACTATAGCAGTGCATGTCTATAATCCCAGTGACTCAGAAAGCTGAGGCAGGAGGACTGCAAGTTTGAGGCTAACCTGGGCAATTTAGCAAGACCCTGTCTCAAAATAAAAATGAATATAAAAAGGCTGGGTGGGGGAGCTCAGTGGTAGAGTGCCCCTAGATTCAATCCCTAATCCAAAAAAAAAAAAAAAAAAATCACACAATGTATGATCCCAAAAGAAAATTATACTATGGGAAAAGGCTAGAAGAAAACATAACAAAAGCTAGCAAGCATGATCTCAGTGTAGTGGGATTATAGATGTTTTTTTTTTTTCCTTTACACATTTCTGAATTAGTCTCTTTTCAACAGTGATTTTATAACTTTCTACTAAAAAAAGGTTTTCATGGGAATGTCTGGGAGTCTGGAGACTCCAGGCTAGAAATGGTAAACAGTCAGCAGTTCTGGTGATTCACTAACTAATTAATTCATGACTTCATGCTTTGTTCCTGCAACACTGATGTGTTGGGTCCCAAGGATGACAGGACAGTCCTTCATGCCTTGGTTTCAGTCCACCTGAGCTTCTCCATGGGGCAGCGCCCCAGCGGGCTAATGCATGGCAGTGGGGTTTCAGGGCTCATTCCTTAGAGGTGTGGCAGCTGCAGGAAGAGGAATAGATGACAGTTTGGAGGACCTGTGCCTGTGCCCGTGGTTTGCTTCCATTTTCATCACTTCTCTCAATGCCAAGGAGGGGTCTTGACTGATGTGCTGTCCGCAGTAGGCAGGAAGAAAGAAAGGCTGGCTTGTGGAAGGAGAGGCAGAAGGCTGGGACCCAGGCTCACAGGAGCTGGGATTAGGCTGGGGTAGTGAGACTCCGAAATAGCAGGATGCTCCCCCACTGAGTGCACATGATGTGATGACCATCACATTCTACTTTATGAAGTCCTGTCTGCCTTTTTTATTTATGCTTTTGGTATGCTTACCTTATGTCATCTTGTCAGAATGTAAACTCCTTGAGGACAGAAAACCCATTTCATTCATCTTTGTAATCTCTCAGGTGCAAGCAGAAAACAGCTTTTCTGTTTGTTTTCCTTGTGTTAGGGACTAAACCCAGGGCCTTGAGAATGCTAGGCGAGTATCCACAACTAAGCTACATTTCCAGCCCCTCAATGTCAGATGTTCTTCATAAATTCTGCCTGAACTGGATTAAAATATGGTAGAATCACTTTAATACTAATGTCAAAGTCAAGAATAATTTATATTTTATTTGCCAAATCACTGTAGGCTTTATTAAGTAGCATCATTATTTTAGGTACCGTGATTTAATAGATGGTAAATCCAAACCCACATCCCCATGAATCATGAGATAATGGGAATTCTCCTGCATACACAAACAGATGCGCATGCACATGTTCAGCACAAACACAAATGTCACACTACCTGTGGAAAGCTGTGTGGCTTGAGGGAAGAAGGCAGGATAGGTGGGAAAGAGTTGTACCTGGCTGGATAAGACTGGGGGAGGACAAAGAGAATGGGAGCCAGGCACTGTGGCACACACCTGTAATCCCAGAGACTTGGGAGGTTGAGGCAGGAGGGATCACTAGTTCAAAGCCAGCGTCAGCAATGTGGCAAGGCCCTAAGAGATCTTGTCTCTATATAAAAAATAAAAAGGACTGGGATGTGACCCAGTGTTTAAATGCCCCCGAGTTCAATCCCTGATACCATAAAAAAAAAAAAAAAAGGGAGAACAGAGTGGTGGGATGGTCAGGGAGTGAGAAAGTATTTTTGCCTGTACTTGAGTCCTTGAATCTGTCCTCCAAGGAACTTTGGTCATTCTCTAGGAGCAGTTTTTTTTTTTTTTTTAAACTTGCTAGACCTAAGTAGGGTACATTTTTAAGGTTCTAGACCCAAGTTTTTCCTCAGACTTTCCCACCTCCCTGAATCTATGAGAATATGGCAGCCCCGGGCAGCCCACAGGGTCTCCCCATACCTTCAGAGGGAACTGCTGGGTCAGTTCCGGCACATATGCAGCCCCGGCCTGCTTCTTGTGCAAAGACACCACTACAAAGTACTCGAAGAGCTGCCTCTCCTGGTACTCAATGAGCTCCCGGTCAAGCAGTGGGTACCGAGGGGCCTGCTTCAGGCGGGACTTCACGTTGACCAGGCGCTGGCTGTGAGCTGGGGAGACAGAAACCAGGGCCCTGCAGTGACTCACTTGCTAATGTGGCCGCGCAGTACACAGGTCATGTAACCCCCAGCTCCGGTCCTTCTTCTAATCCCTAGAGTGCTTCTACAACTAACAAATTAGTAGAAAACTCTTTTTTTGGACCCTTGCCAATCTCTGGGAGGCGCAGCTCTCATTTGATGGGCAGCACCAATCAGGGTGGGGAGTCTGAGACTGCGGGACTCGGCCAGGGATTTGCTGTCTGGCCTCAAGGCAGAGGCTGATGAAGACCTTGCCTCCATCTGTCTTTGGGATGGGGACACTAACTTCTCCTGTACCCCATCCCCCTCATCTTTCAGTTTATGTGATGTGATAAAAGCCAGGCCATCGTGCTCTTGGGGCTGTGAGCTTTGTAAACATCCTGTGTGGCTCAACTGGCAGAGGCTTGACTGACTTGGGACCTCACATCTCCCTCTTCTCCTGCCAATGGAAACACACTGCTCATTCCAGAGGTGGCCAGGGAGCAGCTGTGGCAGAGGTGAATGAGGCAAGGCTGCCCAGTGGACAGGTCCAGGTCACTTTACTCAGCATCCCTGACTTGCTTTTTTTGGCTTCTCCCTGGAGCCTGAGAAATCTTTGAAAACTCAGTAGAGCCTGGACGTGGATCACCAAATGTCAGACCCGCAGGGATGAGTTATTTCAACAACTTCATAAGACGCATGAGGAGCAAGATGCCCCAAGCTGCAGGCTGGGTAACAGCACCGTCCCTGTGGTCCGGTGCATGGCTGGCTGGCCTCTGCACAACCTATGGGTCCCATTGTCCTCTCAGACACTCACATCTTGTACAGCAACCTGGGCAGCACACATCTTTCCCTTACACAAGGGAGGAGGGCCATCTTTGTGGCTTCCAAGTCACCTGTGTGTGCCCCGCATAGCAGCTGCTCTTCTCACCTTTCAGCTTCTCCTCGGTGTCACTGTCAGACTCACTGTTCTCGTCTGTCACTAGACCAAAAGGGCAAGGAAGGAAGTTGCAAATGTGAATTCTTTTAATGCAGGAAATAGACCCCCAATTTCTAGTTTAGAGGAAATGTTTTGTCATCTGTTTAAATGTGACACAAACTCTGTCTAATTCAATATATCCCCAAATTAATACTAAGTAATTTCCAAATTAATATTCGGGTTAAGATGGCTCTTATATCAAATATTACAGCAAGCGACACTGGCCCTTCAGGCTTGCTGAGCCAGAATACAGCTACCGTGGCAGGCCAGGGCATCCAGGCCTCTGATGACTGGAAGGAGGCGGAGGAGGAAGCCAGAGCATGTACCACCCAGGCTGAGCTCCTTGCTGTTTGCCATCCTAAGGACAATGGCAGAAAGTTACCAAGCACCAACTTGTTCCCCTCCCTGGAGAGCAAACCAGAAACAAGAGGACACAACTTCTAGGAGAATGATTCCAGGGGCTTGCTGGGGGCCCACCTTTTCCTGAGTTGCTCTCCGTGGACTGGGACAGCCTCTTCACCCGTTTCTTTCCTCTCCGGGCCTCGTAAGTGGCGTTGATTCGCAACACCAGCTGCCAGACACAGAAGAGGGAAAGCCAGTGTTAGCAGCCCCTGGCCCCCTCCCAGGTGCGGCTGGCCTTCCTCTGCTGCCCATTCTCTCCTAGGATGATGGAGGGCCAGGGAGGGGGAGGGACACACTTCCCACTGCCTGACAGCTCTTCTAGGCATTCTTTTCTGCCACATGGGAATGTGACTGCCAAGAAAACCAGAGGAGGCTGCCCCTCACTGCCACGTGGGCCGATATTGTCTCACAAGCTAACTCATCCAGCTGGGACCATGAGGAGACAATTTCATTGGCTCATGGTGTGACTGCCTCACCCTGAGATGTCACTGTAGCTGGGGAAGGAGTGTTTGCTCCCTAAACAAAATAAGAAAGGAAGAGACAGAAAAAAACATTTCCCAGGGAGGGTGCCTATGGTGGGAACCATTTCAAAAAATGTCTGTATAGCTCCAAGCAGGATGGGAACAGGGATTAGAGTGGCTCCTGGGTCCCCACTTGGGCATACATGGAGCTGTGCCCTGTACTGGAGCACACCATCCCACCGCATGGGAGCACTCCTCCTGACTCACAGGTCCTTCATGTACTCCCAGAGTAGCACATGTGTGGTGCAAAAGTACACTTGGAACATATGCCTATAGTCCCACTGACTCAGGCAGGAGGATTCCAAGTTCAAGGCCATCCTCAGCATCTTAGCAAGACCCTGTCTCAAAATTAAAAAAAAAAAAAAGGGTTGGGAGTTTGGAGTTGTGGTTCAGTGGTAGAGCACTTGCCTAGCAAGTGTGAGGCACTGGGTTTGATTCTCAGCCCTACATATAAAGAAAGGAATAAAATAAAGGTCCACCAACATCTAAAAAAAAAAAAAGGGTTAGGGATGTAGGTCAATCCTCAGTACTGGGGGAGAAGAAAGTGCACCTGTGACATATCCCAGGCCTCCTAGAAGGCTACCTGGCCCAGATGGCTTCCACCCTTTACTACCACCAGAGCCCCTGCTCTCTGGCCCCACCATTTTCCAGAGCAGATGAGCTGTCTGCTGCCTATGACAGCTGCCTGGGTGAATGCAGACCTGCTTTAAAGGCAAGTGCTCTTCTCGCTGGTGACCAAATAAGTGTTTGGTGTTACCTGTGCTTGCTCCCCTCCTCTCCTGAAAATCTGGAGAGTGTGGAAATCTGGTGAGTGTGGACTGACATATTTTGCTTTGCTGGGACCTAGGTTTTGCTGTTACAGAGAACATGTTCATGACACAGGTGGTTCAGAACCTTGCACACAGAGGAACTCCAAAATCAGTTGTTTTGTGTGGTTTAGAAAATTATTCTTTTTTTAAAAAAAATTTATTTTTTTAGTTATAGGTGAACACAATGTCTTAATTTTATTTTATTTGGTGCTGAGGTTTGAACCCAGTGCCTCACACATGCTAGGCTCTACCTCTGAGCCACAATCAGAAAATTATTCTTATTCCTTTTTTTTTTTTTTTTGGTGTGGTGCTAGGTATTGAACCCAGGGCCCTGTACATGTAAAGCAAGCACTCTACCAACTGAGCTATATCCCTAGCTCCCTTATTACTTCTTACACAGATAGCTATATAGCTTTATGTTCAACGTTACATAGCCTTTTTTTTTAGTTGTCAATAGGCCTTTATTTATTTTTTAAAATTTTTTATTTACTTGTATGTGGTGCTGAGACTCGAACCCAGAGCCTCACACATGTGAGGCAAGTGCTCTACCAAGGAGCCCCAGCCCCAGCCCTCAATGTCATATAACTTTTTGTTGTTATTTTTAGAGATAGTGTCTCACTTTGTTGCTCAGGCTGGCCCTGAACCTCTGAGCTCAAGCAATCCTCCTGCCTCAGCCTCCCAAGTAGATGGGACTACAGGTGCATGCCATTATGTTGGCTTAACATTTTTTTTTGTCTGTATAAGTTAGTGAACAAAAATGTATAGTAGTAACTATTTTCTGTGTTCTGTGATTATTTTAAATCTTATTTTTTAATCTGGTTTAAGTGTTCCGGACTCTGCTGCATCTAGCTGGGTATGTGTCTGTATTTATTTTCTAGTTCTCGGCGGACACAACATCCTTGTTGGTATGTGGTGCTGAGGATCGAACCCGGGCCGCATGCATGCCAGGCGAGCACACTACCGCTTGAGCCACATCCCCAGCCCCGATAAAGGTTCTTAATTGTCCTTAGACTTGTGAAGTACTCTCTAAACCTCTCCCAGTGCTGCAAGGTGAGGCCCTCCACACACATCACTAAAGGCACATTCTCCAGGTTGCCTGCAGCAGAACCTCTCCTGATGGAACCCCTGGGGTGCCTTACCCCAGACTTTTCAGCATCACCTGCTCCTTTCAGCAAGTGGAAGCCTATAGATAACCTAGCTGGGAGAGAAAGAGGTCTACCTATGCACAGTTGAAGCAAACCAACCAGCAATTTTAAAGGGAGCTGCATTATATGCTGACCCATAAGTGTGGGGAATTCTTTGGTGTGCTGAGAAGAACAGGAGTGGGATGCGTAACCGGGGACAGGTCCCAGGAGAGTGCAGTGATCAGCTGTTGCCAGTCCCCATCTCTATTCTTCCCACCTTGGATCAGCTCCCCAGAATGGCTCACCAGCATCTCTCCATAGGCGGAGCACTGGGTCAGTGCTCCTGTTGTCTGCTGAACCCAATGCCTTGTCACATGCTTAGACACCTGAGCATTCTGACTTCTGATAGCCATTTAGACCTTCACTTCCAACCAGTGCTTCCCTCCTTGCCTATTGCCTTGAACCTGATTCAAATGAGCCTCCTCTATAACCTTCAAATTCTTGCCTGTGTGACAGTTACTTTGTATTTACCCTGACTATCCAGCCATCCCCTGGCATGCTCACATTCCTGAACTGGCCCTTTTTCTTCCTTTCCTTTCCTTCCTTTTGTGGAAATGTAGTGTTCCAACTACATTTCCCACAAAAGCAGACATTGTATAAATGAACTGTTAGCATTACTCATGATAGCCAGAGTACGCACGACCCAAGTGTCCGGTGAGAGATGAATGGGTAAACAAAATGTAGAATATGCCTTCAATGGAATATCATTCAGCCTCAGAAAGGAAGAAGAGTCTGACATATGCTGCAATATGGAAGGACCCTAAGGACATCATGCTAAGTGAAATGAACTAGGCACAGAGGGCAAATGATTCCACTTATGTAAGGTACCTACAATAGTAAAATCAATAGAGACAGAGAGTAGGAAGGTGGATACCAGGGGCTGAGCAGGGGGACATGGAGACTTATTGTGCAATGGGTAGTTTCTGTCTAGGAGACAAATAAGTTCTGGAGAAGGATGGGGGTGCTGGTTGCTGAATAATATGAGTGCAATGAATGTACTGAATGGTACACTTAAAAATGGTTAAAATGAGCTGGGCAGAGTGGTACTCATTTGCAACTTCTGTCAGAAGGCTGAGGCAGGAGGATTGCAAGTTCAAGGCTAGCCTCAGCAAATTAAGAAGACCCTGTCTCAAGATAAAAACAAAAGGGACTGGGGATGTAGCTTAGTGGTAGAGTACCTCTGGGTTCAATCCCCAGTGCCAAAAAAAAAAAAAAAAAAAAAAAGATTAAAATGATAAATTTGGGCTGGGGATGTGGCTCAAGCGGTAGCGCGCTCGCCTGGCATGCGTGCCGTCCAGATTCGATCCTCAGCACCACATACAAACAAAGATGTATCCGCCGAAAAACTAAAAAATAAATAATAAAATTCTCTCTCTCTCTCTTAAAAAAAATGATAAATTTTATGTTATATATATTTTACCATAATCTAAAAAATAGAACCAAATGTCACTGGGTCAAATTTTGAGGGGTAGGTTTTTAAACCCATTCAGAATCTCCCCCCAAAATATCCAAAACCAGTAAGAAAGAAGACAGTTATAGTAAACATCCTTCCACTTATTTGATGAGAATGAACAGCCAGGAGTGTTGGCACATTCTTGTAAGCCTGGTGATTTGAGGACTAAGGCAAGAAGATGAAAAGTTCAAGGCCAGCCTCAGCAACTTATATAGAAAATGTCCTGTCCCCTCAGACCTCCAAACTTATCTGCACAAAGTTTTATGACGTTCATGACTTCCTAAAGCCCATGGCTCTGAGTTCGATGGACTTCCCACTCTAACAGTTGCCAAAGCAAGTTGGTACAGAAGGGGTCCTGAACAGCCTGCCTACTTCAGAACAGGCTGCTTTGGCAGACTGATTATTTTGGGTTCTGGGTGAGAGTGCCCATCTTAAAAATCACAGGTGTAAGGTGGGCACTCTTACCCTCCCTCTTCTTCCTGGAAGCTGGACACAAAGTTCCCATGTGAAAGATGCCCTCCCTATACTGGGAGAGAGGAAACATTCTTATCACTAGAGACAGAAAGGTGAGGCCAAGATAAACCTGTACAAACCAGCCTTGCTAAACTAACCCTTACCTTTTAGTTACTTTCCCACAATTTTTTCAACTCAGAATGTAAGTATTTAAGCCCAGTAACTTCTTTGGGTTTTCATTTTCTTGTGAAGGCTCCCCACATACATGTAATTAAAATTCACATGCAGGGGCTGGGGCTGTAGCTCAGTGGCAGAGCACTTGCCTAGCACATGTGATGCATTGGGTTCCATCCTCAGCCCAGCATAAAAATAAACAAATAAAACAAAGGCATTCTGTCCATCTACAACTACAAAAAAAAAATTAAAAAAAATTAACATGCATTGTTCTTGTTAACCTGCCTTAAGTTAGTTTAATTTTTAGGCAAATCTTCCCTGAGAAGATAGAGGAAATGCCTCCCCTACAGTACCAAACTGGTCAATGAAAAGACCAGCACTACAGGGCTTAAACTGAGTAAAAGACAACATAACCAACAGAACATAAGATGTACAACCAAGCCATGGGCATGTTTTACTTTTGGAAGGCAGGGACCAGGAGACATTTTTAAATTTTTTTTATTTTTTATTTTTTTACCAGGAGACATTTTGTTTTTGTTTTCTTTGTGGTACTGCTAATTGAACTCAGGGACACTACTACTGAGCTAAGTCCCTAGTCCTTTTCAATTATTTATTTATTTTTTAAATATTTATTTTTTAGTTGTAGCTGGACACAATATCTTTATTTATTTATATTTATGTGGTGTTGGGGATTGAACCCAGGGCCTTGCCTGTGCTAGGTGAGTACTCTACTGCTGAGCCACAACCCAGCCCCCAACTATTTATTTTGAGATAAGGTCTTGTTAAGTTGCCTAGGCTGGCTTTAATCTTGTGATCCTCCTGCCTCAGCCTCCCAAGTTACTGGGATTATAGTGTGAGCCACTATGCCTGGTCAGAACATGTATTTTGGCAAATGTTGCCTCAGGGCACATACTGGCACCAGCTCCTGACAAAGTCTCAGGTCTAGGCATGATGGATGGAGGTCTACTTTTTCAGGATAAGAAGGAGAAGGCTATGGCCTTTTGAGTACAGGCACTGAGAACACTGGGTCTGAAGAACAGTTAAGGCAGGGAGAGACATGGCTAAGAGGAAGTGTATATATAAGACCACAATAATTATTAGGACAGAGGCTGAGATATCCTAGCCTTCTGGTTTTACCATGTCACCTCCTGTGGGTGACAGAATGAACAGAGGGCCCAGTGGCTGGGTCTCTGCCCAGCCTGCCCTGCAGCCTTCCTTTGCAGAGAAGGAGGATTGCATATTGGAACATGAAGTTGGTTGTGCGCATTACCTTGGGGATCTTTTTCTTCTTCCTGCCATTCTGTAGGTCTCCAAGGTTAAAGAAAGTGTCATCAGGACTGCTGGGTGTGGAGGGGGGGCTAATTCTGGAAGGGGACCCAGTTCCATCCCGACTCAACTTCCTAGCGTCCAGCAGTTTGAAGTTCCACCTCTCTGAATTTTGCCGGAAAAAAGCAGGTTTGGAGAATGATTGCTGTGTGAGGAAAGGAGAACAGATGAGTAAACCAATACACAGGGACTAACCAGGTGATAACTGGTGGTGCCAGTGACAGGGACCATGCAACTGAGAAGGGGAGCTGGTCTACCTTCCCAGAGTATGTGGGATTTATGTAGGCTAACAAGTGTCAGTTTAACTTACCCAATCGTGGAAAATTTGTGTGACAAAGGAGTAAATCTAAACTGGCCTGTCTTTTCAGACAAGTGGATGTCACCTGGCTCAGTCCCCGGACTTTACAGATGAGGTTCTCTGACAATACAAGACATGGGGATTAGAGGTCTGGCTGTGACCCTGCCGCTGTGCAAGGAATTTCACTTCTTTGGACTTCAATATTTTTCCCTCTCTTTCTGTGCTGAAGATTAAGCTCAAGGCATCGCGCATTTAAGCAGATGCACTCCTACTGAGCCGCATTCCCAGCTCCAATTAGACTAAGACAAGTTTTTTTAAAGTCAAAAGACAAAAAAACTTGCTAAAAAATTTAGGGGCTGGCTGAGTGCAGTGGCACACACCTGTAATCCTGGCAGCTCGTGAGGCTCAGGCAGGAGGATTGTGAATTCAAAGCCAGCCTCAGCAACTTAGCGAGGCACTAAGCAACTCATTGAGAACCTGTCTCTAAATAAAATATTTAAAAAAGGGCTGGGGGTGCTGGGGTTGTGGCTCAGTGGTAGAGCCCTTGCTGGCAACTATGAGGCATTGGGTTTGATCCTCAGCACCACATAAAAATAAATAAATAAAACAAAGGGGGGCTGGGGATGTGGCTCAAGCGGTAGCGCGCTCGCCTGGCATGTGTGCGGCCCGGGTTCGATCCTCAGCACCACATACCAACAAAGATGTTGTGTCTGCCAAAAACTAAAAAATAAATATTAAAAAATTCTCTCTCTCAAAAAAAAAAAAAAAAMAAAAAACAATGGTGTTCTGCCCAACTCCAACAACAACAAAAAATAAATAAAAAAAAAAAAGGGTTGGGGATGTGACCTAATGGTTAATCATCCCTTGGTTCAACCCCCTATACCCCCCCCCCCCAAAAGGGAGGGCAGGCTAGGTGTGTAGTTTAGTGGTGGATTGTTTGCCTAGCATGCATGAGGAAGGCCCTGGGTTTGAATCCCAGCTCTGCAAACAAACAAAAACATAACTCATCACACAGAAAAAACCCTCATTTTCCTGATAAATAATACAAATTAATGAGAAAAAGACCAATAATTTAAAAGAAAAACATGCAAAAGAAAGCTTAAAGAAAAGAAAGTGCAACAATTTATTTAGTTATATAAAAAGATTCTTATTTTCACTCATAAAAGAAAATTATACTCCACTGAAGGAACATTTTTCATTTAAAGATTAGCAAAGGTAAAAAAAAAAAGGTCTGATATTCATTTTGTTGAAGGTGAAAGGAAAAAAAATCATTTCCATACACTGTTGATGGGAATATAAATTGGTACAATTCCCATCTAACAAAATGACATGTGACCTTTAATCAAGAAATTCTCCCTCTAGGAATTCCCCCTACTGACATACTTGTACTTATTCAAGGAAAGCTATGTTGTTGTGCAAAGTATATCGTATACGGTGATGTGGTTTATAATCATAGAATGTTAGAAACAACCTAAATGCCCTCAAAAGAAATTGCCAAATAATGGGCTCAGGTTATGGCTCAGTAACAGAGCGCTTGCCTTGCATATGTGAGGCACTGGGTTCAATTCTCAGTACCACATAGAAATAAATAAACAAAATAAAGATATTGTGCCTATGTATAACTGAAAAGAAAAGAAAAGAAACAAACTGCCAAATAAATTATGGCATATCCATACAATAAAATACTATGCAACTGTAAAAAAAATTCTTGGGCTGGAGGTATGACATAGTGGTAGAGCACTTGCCTAGCATGCACAAGGGCCTGGGTTCTATCCTTAGCACTGCCCAAAGCACTGCCCAACAAACAAAACAAAACAAAACTTGTGTCGTGTTCTTTATGCATAGAATAGTTCTGGAAGAATAGTTCTCCATGGATCAAGAAATTGATTCACAGTGGTTTTGGTGGAGGAGAGAAAAGGGAGATAAAGGTAAGCAGATTTTCATTGTATACTTTCATATTTCTTGAATTCAGAACCATATAAATGTACTAAAATAACACTTTAAAAATTTTTTATTGTTTTGGGTACTGAGGATTGAACCCCAAGAGTGCTTAACCACTAAGTTATATCTCCAGTCCTTATTCTTTCAAATTTTTGGTTGTTATTTATTTTTTTTGGGTTCTGGGAATTGAACCCAGGGCCTTGTGCATGTAAGGCAAGCACTTTACCAACTGAGCTATATCCCCAGCCCCTATTCTTTTAAATTTTGAGACAAGGTCTCACTAAATTTCTAAGGCTGGCCTTAAACTTGGGATCCTCTTGTTTCAGCCTTCCAAGTCCTAGGATTATGGGTGTGCCCCATTAGTTGCCAGCTAAAATAATAAATACTAGTTAGACAAAACAAAAGAAACACTTTAAGTCTTTTCGAACAGTACTTTCAGGTCTTACATTTTACAATACTGCATAGTTACTAAGTCTCTTTTTAAAATTGATGAATGAACTAAATGAGATAAAGGTATATAAGGCAGCTGGCAGAGTGCCTGATATAATTCAATAGATGTGCAATATTATTTTGCTTCCTCTCCCTATGACACTAATATTTGTTCATACTTCAATGGGCTAACTACATTCTTCTTCTTTTTCTTTTTTTCCTGGTGTTGGGGATGGAACCCAGGACCCTCAGGCACACTAGGCAAGTGGCTATACCTCCAGCCCTAACTGCATTTTTCTTTCTTTCTTCTTTTTTATAATTTTTTTTTTTTTAGTTGTAGATGGACACAATACCTTTATTTTATTTATTTATTTTCATGTGGTGCTGAGGATAGAATCCAGTGCCTCATACCTGCAAGGCAAGTGCTCTGCCACTGAGCTATAATCCTAGCCCTAATTGCATTTTTCTTTAGTGTTTATTTGCCTATTTATCTTTTGGGATCCTAGGGTATTTCTTATTATTGTGAATGAGCTCATATCAAACAGATATTAACTGTTTTTAAGTTTTGCTACAACTGTGCTTTTCCCATGTGGCTTATTTATATTTTGATTACATGCAATTTTTCAGGTTTTTTTTTATTGTTGTTGTTTTTTTTGATGCCCAGGATCAAGTTCAGGGCTTCACAAATACTAAGCAAGTGCTCTACCACTGAGCTAAACCTCAAGTACCCAGTGTGCACATAACTTTTTTCTTATATGAAAATCTGTTAATTTTTTACCTTTGTAATTCATTTAATCTCTTCATTAATTCCATTTTTTTTCGGGATTTTCTTGGTTTGTTTTGAACATATTTTACTCATTAATCCATCAGTAATTTGTTTTATGGTATGTTAATCTAAATATTTTCCTGCAATCTAACTTATTCTATTTAATGAATGAGCTTTCCCACTCAAATTTTAAGGTCATATATATCATAGCTTTTTTTTTGGTACCGGGAATTGAATCCAGGGGAACCTTACCACTGAGCCACATCCCCCAGCCCTTTTTATTATTTTTTTTTTATTTTGAGACAGGGTCTCTCTAAGTTGGTAAGGCTGGCCTCGAACTTGAGATCCTCTTGCTTCAGACTCTGGAGTTGCTAGGACTACGTGTCCACTACCATGCCTGGCTACATTGATCACATTTTAAACCCTCAAAGAATAGGTTTATTTTGTTCCACTAACTTCTCATTCTAAACTAGAATAGTAAGTGATAATGACTTCAGAACATTTTCAAGATATCCAAGAATAAAGACCCCTAGTCTTCCCAATGGCTGGTTCTATTGTTTTATCATTGGTCTTCAAGTATCAATAAATTGCTCAGTACAGGAAGTATTGGCCTTCTTAGGTCACTGTGGGTATCTTAATCATACTGGCACAAAAACAAATAGCTGGGCATGATGGTGCTTTCCTGTGACCCAGCAACCCATGAGGCAGAAGGATCTCAATTCAAAGTCACCCTACCTCAAAATATATATATATATATTTTTTTTTTAAAGAGAGAGAGGGGGGGGAATTCTTTTTAATATTTATTTTTTTTTAGTTTTCGGCGGACACGACATCTTTGTTTGTGGTGCTGAGGATCGAACCCAGGCCACACGCATGCCAGGCGAGCACCCTACCGCTTGAGCCACATCCCCAGCCCAAAATAATTTTTTTTAAAGGGTTAGAGACATAGTTCAGTGGTAGAGCACTTGCCTACCATGTACAGTATTAAAGAAAAATGAAGGGCTGGGGATATACCTCAGTTGGTAGAGTGCTTGCCTTGCATGCACAAGACCCTGGGTTCAATCCCCAGCACCAAAATAAATAAATAAATAAATAAATAAATAAATAACAAGGACCTTAAAGGCCAAACTTCATTTGCAATGATATCCAAAGAAATAACCTAATTCTTTAACTAGATTGAAAACTCCTATCAAATTGTTGGCAGTAGTATTTGTTTTCATTAGAGATTTAGATTGTGACATTGTTTAAAGGAGATTTGACCTATGGAAAGATTTAAGAAGAAATCAAAACAATGCACACAACTTTCTAAAGAATGTCAAGAGGGGCTGAGTGGGTGGCACATGCCTGTAATCCCAGTGGTTCGGGAGGCTGAGGCAGGAGGATCAGAGTCAACCTCAGCAAAAAAGTGAGGTGCTAAGCAACTCAATGAGACTCTGTCTCTAAAAATAAAATACTAAATAGGACTGGGGATGTGGCTCAGTGGTTGAGTGCCCCTGAGTTCAATCCCTGGTACCAAAAAAAAAAAAAAAAAAAAAAAAAAAAGACATAAAGAGGCCTGGCAGAGGCTGTGTGTGGAGTGCATCACCCAGCAGTCACAATGCTGGAGAAAGGGTCTGGGTTGTCACAGAGAATCCAAATAAGCATCGAAAGTCCAGGAGCTGCCATGAGGAGGTGGGATTCCAGTAGTTTCTTAGATAATACAAAGGGGAGACTCAGGGACTATGTGGGGGAGCATTATGAAGCATATAAAAGTCTGAGACCAGGCTTAGGGGTGAGGAGAACAAATTAGACCAAAGAGAGTCTTCATGGCTCCAAGTGAGGGCCACAAACAGAAGGGGGAGATAACACAAGGAAGATGTCTGTTTATTGAAGGCCTCTGAAAACAAAGTTATGAATCCTGGATTTAGCAGGGGCCAGCAAACTGGGGCCAGAGAATATTTAAGGCTGTGGCCACATTCTTACCATTTCAACTCTCAACTGTGCCACAGTAGTTAACTGCTAATGCAGCCACAGTCAATGTGACACGGATGAGTATGGCTGTGTCCTAATAAAACTTCATTCATAAAAATCAGGCAGCCAGCAATGGTGTGCCAAATCCTAACTGTAGTATAAAGGGAAGTCACTACAGGATCCTAAGGGTGATATTTTTAGACTTTGGTCCAGAGAAGATTCCAGTTTTTGATAAAAGCACCTCACACCAACATATACAGTGCCCAACTCTGTCATGCCTCTATTTAGTAGCTCTGTCACAGATGTACACCAAGTGTCTTTTAGAGATTGGGCACCACAAAAGATCTGTAGTGTCCAAAAGGGAAAGGCAGACAGGACCCTCTTGGCCTGATGTCTGACTTCATGTGAAGCCTCTTGCATTATTTCAGGAAGCTGTGTGGGGAAGATCAGGTGGTAAGGAAGCCCTGCACCTTCTAGAGGGAGCTAACCTGGACACAAGTGCTGGCTCATTAACCCATTTTTGGGGGGTGAGTACTGGGGATTGAACACTGGTTTACCACTGAGCTATATCCCCAGCCTTTTATTTTATTTTAAGACAGGGTTTTGCTAAGTTGCTTAATGCCTAAATTGCTTAGGGCCTTTGCTGAGGCTGGCCCCCAATTTGCAATCCTCCTGCCTTAACCTCTTGAGTTGCTGAGATTATAGGTGTGTGCTACTGCCCCCGGCTCGCTCAGTCTTATCTGTGAATGGTATCATATGTAGAAGAGAGTATCTCTAGCCAAGCACAGTGGTGTATGCCTGCAGTTCTAGCTACTCAGGAGACTGAGGTTGGACAACTGTTTGTGCCCAGGATTTGAAGGCAATGCAGTAAGACCCTACCTCAAGACAAAAGCAACAAAATGAGTGTCTCATATTAGCCCAGGTTTCCTCTATTGTAAAAATTTGTTCCTGCTGTATTCTCTGTGCTTCACTAGGCATGGGAATGGTGGGTAACACCCAGCAAGAAAAGAAGGCACAGTAGAAGGCTGTCTTCTAAAAAGAGCTTGCATTCTGTGTTCATTAGGCCTCAGCATCTGCCCCAGCTGCACATCTGTTCTTTTCTGAGGACAGTCTGTCTGACAGACCCTCCCACTCTGCTGGGACCAAGCAGGAGCTAATGAAAGAAACATCCCAAAGATGGCTTACGACCTTTCTATGGCTGGCAGAGGAGGTCAACATAGAAGGACTGCTTCAGCTGAGACTGCTTCTAAGGTCCTAGATGCAGCCCAGATGCCACAGATGCTCAATGAATATTTGATGAACTCAATGGAGGAAGTGGCGAAGCCTGAAGCTTTCCCCCAGAATGGGGGCATAAACCAGACACCAGATGTGGGAGTGTAGAGTATCGAGTGTGGACATGGGGCCCTGCTGATGACTTGCAGAGGCCCAAACAGCCTGCAAGTACCAGTGGCAATCAGATACATGCACCAGTCAACCACATTCTCTCTCCTTAGGACAGATGTATCTGGACTGCAAGCTCTGGCTGCCACCGCCACCAACCTAGTCTAGCTGTTTAGGTGACAAAGGCTCTGGGCTTTCTCTGTCTGGCAGGAGCAGGAAGAAAGGGCTGCTCAGCCTTTAGTTTCTGGTACCAGGGAGGTGTACCCTGCTCTGAATGCGTTTGCTCTGGGCAGATGTTCCTCACTGTTCTTAAAAGGAGGTACAGTGCACTCCCCTGTGGAGTGATGAGCCAGGAGGGTGGGATGGAGCTTTCTTCTCCCAAGCAAGCCTCCTCCACTATGGGGAAAGGATTTCCTAGATGTTGGATATGTCCATATTCCAATGAAAACACAAACACATTTCCAAGGGAAGTAGAAACCACTAGTTATTGGTTGTCATGAATTATTCACAACTACTCTCTTTTCCACATGATGGGGAAAATGGCAGTTGATTGATTTGGACAAGTATTATAGTAACTGACGTGGGTCCGTAAGCCATACCCTTCATGATGGCTTCTACCTCAACTCTTCTGGAAGATGGTGGCAGGAGCTTCCCGTTAGGACCACCAAGTGCAGAAGGCAAGCCTCATGTGGAACAGCCCCCAGCTAACAGCGAACACTGACCCTGTGGGGCTCAATAGGAAGATGGCTGCTTTTCTCAGGCTGAAAACAGATCCTTGCAATGGGATATAATTGGGCACTTACAGCCTGAATTTGGTAATTTTTTATTTCTAAAAAACTGAATATTTGTAACAACTACTAGGGCCTTAGGAAAGACACAAAGAAACAGAATATAAACTGTGTGACCTTGAGTAGTTTGTCCTTACTTAGGGAGATGTTTTTAAGACACATTACATGATTTAAATCCAAACTCCAATCATAATGTAAGAAATGTCACAAGGCAATAGACAATTCATGTGAAATGAATGATATGGCTTCTGGGTGTTACAGGCCATCAAAGGTGAAAAACTTCTAGGTGCTGCAATGGCCTAACCAACTCCCCAAAGGAGGCACTAATGAGCTGCTCCTCAAAGGACAGGATGGAGGGAGCGGAGGGAGTGGTCAAAGGCATAGACAGACAGAGTTTAGCCGGGGATTAGCAAATTACAGCCCAGGGGCCACATCTGACCTGCCACAAGTTGAGAACAGGTTTTACATTATTTATTTATTTATTTATTTATTTATTTATTTAAAGAGAGAGAGACTGGGGCATTTTTTTTTTTTTTAGAGAGAGACAGAGAATGAATTTTAATATTTATTTTTTTTTTAGTTTTTGGCGGACACAACATCTTTGTTTGTATGTGGTGCTGAGGACCGAACCCGGCCGCACACATGCCAGGCAAGCGCGCTACCGCTTGAGCCACATCCCCAGCCCAGGTTTTACATTTTTTAAAAAAATATTTATTTTTTAGTTAAAGGTGGACACAATATTTTTTATTTTATTTTTAAGTGATACTGAGGATCGAACCCAGTGCCTCATGCATGCTAGGCAAGCACTCTACCACCGAGCCACAACCCCAGCCCCAGATTTTACATTTTTATATGGTTGAAAAATAAAATTCAAATTTCAGTGCTTCCAAATAGTTTCACTGAAACAGACATTCTCACTTGTTACATATCATTTTATGGCTGCTTCACACTATAATGCAGGTAGCTACAACAGAGACCACCTATCCCACAAACCCTAAAATATTTACTCTCTGGCTGCTTAGAAAAAGTTTGCTGATCCTTGCCTGATAATATCAAAGGGTAGCTGGTAAGCTCTGCTGGCAGGGAGTGTTTGCACATAAGAACTGTGGGAGATCATGCAATGAGGGGTGCTTGGGGATTAATTATAAAAGATACTTAAGGACACACTAAAGAATATCAACTCCAACTATTAGGCAAGAGGTTGAAATTATTAGCATGTACATGAATAGTTACATTATCTATGTGCACATGGTACAAAACTACAAAAGGTTCAAAAGTATACTCTGAAGTATACTCATACATTGTTGATGGGACTGCAAAATGGTGCAACCACTATGGAAAGCAGTATGGAGATATCTCAGAAAACTTGGAATGGAACCCACCATTTGTCCCAGCTATCCCACTCCTTCGTTTATACCCAAAGATCTTAAAATCAGCACACTACAATGACTCAGCCACATCAATGTTTATAGCAGCTCAATTCACAATAGCTCAACTATGAAACCAAACCTAGATGCCCTTCAACAGATAAACGGATAAAGAAAATGTGGTACATATACACAAGAAGAACGAAACTATGGCATTTGCAGGGAAATGGATGGAACTAGAGAATATCATGCTAAGTGAAATGAACCAATCCCCCAAAACCAAAACCCAAATGTTTTCTCTGATAAGCAGATGTTGATCCATAGTGAGGTGGGGGGATAGGGAAGAATGAAGAAACTTTGGTTTATGTAGAGGGGAATAAGGGGAGGGGTTGGGTTGTAGGGATGGGAAGGATGGTAGAAAGAGACAGACATTATTATCCTATATACATGTATGATTATACTACTGGAGTGACTCTGAACCAGTACAGCCAGAGGAATGAGAAGGTGTGCTCCATTTGTATACAATGTGTCAAAATACATTCTACTATAAAATGAATAAATTAATTTAAAAAAAAAAGCATACTCTGTAAAAAGAAAGCCAGTCTTGTGGCCTATAGGAAGTCAGGCACTGACAGTTCCACCAAGGTACCTGCTTAAGGTCTATCCATGCTAAGATCCCTCACAGAGRAATTCTTCTACATCCATGAACACAGGTGAGCTCCCATGCTTGTATATACTTTCATTTCAAAACCCCCACAAATGGTAGAATACTAAAAATATACTGTTCTTCACCCTGCATTTCAGTCTTGTGTGTCAGAGTTTGTTCAGTGCCTTCTTCTGAACAGCTGTATCATATGGATGGACCATTTTTTATGTAAAAAGTTTGAGGAGAGTTCTGAGCTAGAAGCTCAGTGGTATTTTTAGAGATTCTGTCAAGCAGTGGGGGTCCAGGAAAATGAGAGGCAGGAAGGCCAGTCAGACAGTGGATAGAAAGATCCAGGTTGTGACAGACAGAACCAGATGCCTGGTTGTGAGGATGGCCTGAACTCCAGAGTGTTCAGGGACATGGTACCTGGGACCCCTCTCCTGCCACCACTCCCCCAGGGCTCATACCTTGGTGGGAGTGTCAGGTATGGAAGAGGTGGGAGAACCAGGAAAGGTCAAGACACATTTCTTGCCCAGGCAGCGGCCATGTAATTCGATGTCTTCATAAGGGTTTTCCTTCATTGGTGGATCTGTGGTCAAAGGCAATGGGTCAGGAACCTGGGAAGTTTTCCTCCTCAGAACACTGAGGCTAACATTTTGGCCTCTCCTGCGCTAGCCCTGGTGGGATGTCTGTTGTTTTGCTGCCCATCACCCTTTCTCTCAGTGACAGACCCTGATTATCACCAGGGTAACAACCTGTCCCCTCCCTTAAAGCTATGTAAGATTAATTTAACTCCCAGTTTCAGGACTTCAGCACTCTAGGGGCCTCAGACTGCTGCCTCAGTGATGAGTTCAGGTCAGGGTTCGCATCCCAGTCCAAGGCAAACACCACATGGCATTCCCAGACTCCAAAGTGAACAAGGGAGCCAAGCTGGTCTGGCCAGAGTGAACCTCAGGATTTTTGCAAAGACTTGCAAGACATAGGTACTCCTTCCCAGGGGAAGGTATGAACTCCAAGGAGCCGTTAGCCCTAATCCTGAGGATGATGGGAAGTCCGCTGAGAATGGAGCTTCTCTGGGAGGTAAGAAATGGAGGAGGAAAAATGCCAATTCTGGTCATGGGAGTCCATGACCTCCCTTTGTTGTTCAGTTGGTGTCCTTGTTCCCTATAACTGAAAGCAACCTCTCAGGCATATGCTGCAGAAGTCCAGAGTTCATACCCTCCTTGGATTTGGGAAGCTTGCTGCTTTAGAAAACCCCGCCTACACAGCTCAGCTGACTGAGTGCATGCCCCACCTCTCCTCGCATGGTATTTTCTGGTACTGGAGACTCCATGCATGCAAGTCTGTGGGCATCTGCCCCACCTGCCTCTCACATGCACTCACCTATGGGTTTCTCCCTCTTCCCAGCTCGCTTTCTCTCCCACGGTAAGCAGATACCAGTCTGAGCTCACACCACACTGAAACTGTGATCTTACAGAAGATTACTGAACTCCCCAAACAAACTTTGAATATGAGCCCCACTTTGGAATCTAAGAGGAGTCTTTGGGGCTAGGCCAAAGTTACTCTCCAACAACACATTCATTTAGTCTGTACTCTGATACCCTGTTAGTGCCATACTCCTGAGTGTCTGAAAAAGCATGCTGGTCTTCAGTGTTTTCTTTCATTCAGTCATCCCTACAATTCAGGGAGCATCTGTAAGGAGCCAGGTCTTTTACATTCTCTCCAGTCCTTAAATAACCTACAAGGGAGCCATTATCACCCTCACTATTGAGACAAGGGAGCTCAAGTTCAGAGAAATTACAGTATCACCAGTTCAATATCACACAGCTAACAAGGGGCAGAGCCAAGATTTCATTCCAGATGGTGACTCCAGGCCTTCTGTTTCTTGGTCCACACCCTGCCTCCTGTGCGGTTCATGACCAGCCCTTCTTCTCCCTTCCAGCCTCGTGTTCTCACTTATCTCACTGAGGCCCACTCTCCCCTCCTGTCTACCTGCTCTCTCATTCATTTGACTACACTCTGTCTTTGTGTGTGCACGTGTGTGTTTCAAGCAGCATCCCCATTTCCTCTCCCTCTTTCTTACATCCAGACTCACAGACATTTGGTCTCTTACCTAGAATGTCTTCATAGACGTTCTCCTCTGATAAAGTGCGTGTGAGCCCCAATTTAGTCTGTGCATACCAGTCCACCCTGTTGTTCTCGCAGGAAGACTGCAGTAAGTCTTCGAACTCATAGGACTTTCTGAATTGTGCAAATGGGAGGGAAAAACCAAGAACTTGAATCAATATAGGCTTCTTCAGAGAATATACACCCCCTTTCTAAATTTGTTCTTAGAAAGCTTTCTATTATTGAAATCAACTGTTTTTACAAAAGTGAATATCCACAAATAAGAAAGGTGGCTTTTGCTTGCAAGAATATTTATGCTATTATGCTAAGTGAAAACAGAAAAAAAATATATACATGTATGTGTATATATACATATACATACACATATTATACACACATATATTTTCCCCAGGTTGCAAATAAACATATCCACATACAATAAAAAGAAAAGACAGAAGTGAAATACAGAGGTGCCACCTTAGGACTGAGGGATGGCTAGTGACCTCTCTGCTCTTTTACTTTCCCGGACCTGAATTTTCTAGTGTTTACGGACCATACATTACTTCAATTAACAGAGAAGCAGTGAGGGTGAGTTCAGAGTGGACCAGAGGCCTAGGCACTGGCTCTTTCCTCTAACCTAAGTGGCAATAGTCAGTTATGGAACCCAAGGGCCCGCTGAGGCATCCTGTCTTGCCCCTCAGAGAGCTGATCAAAGCGACTGGCTCTCATTTGTGACCTGGCACATACATAGCTTTCTACCATAAAGCACTGATGATTTTTATAACTTTGAATATTTAGGAAAGGTCATATTATGTAGCATGAAAAACTTCAGGCATCTTAGGATCCACAATACCTCCCACCTTTTTCTTCTCTCTCCCACTGGTCTCCAAAGTAACCATAATGTCCCCTTCCTGACAGAACCACCCCCAAGCGGAAATACTGAGAATTTCTCCAGAACACACCTGGTCCTTCCTGAATGAAATTTTAGGTGAACATGCTGTCCACCCACTTTGAGCAGGGCACATCCCCTCAAGCCACATCCTTGACTTGGTGGCTTTTGCTTGCAAGAATATTTATGCTATTATGCTAAGTGAAAAATAGTAAAAAAAAAAAAAAAAATATATATATATATATATATATATATATATATTTATACACACACACACACACACACACACACACACATATATATACATAATACAAATATTTTTCCCATGTTGCAAATAAACATATCCACATAAAATAAAAAGACAGAAGTGAAATACAGAGGTGCCACCTCAGGACTAAGGGATAGCTAGAGATCTCTCTGCTCTTTTACTTTTCCAGACTTGAATTTTCCTCTTCTTCTTACATAGTCCATTTGGTCACAACCCTTCTGTGGCTCAGAAACCCAGCTCTTTTTATTTTATTCACAGTGTCCAGCAGAGTTCTGCAGATGCTTCATGATAAATACTTGTAGCTGACTACCTAAATATTCATAGTGGCTTTGCTTGTTCATCTGCACTCTCAATTTTCTTCTAGCCCCTAGGGAAGATGTTTTTCTGGTGGCTTGGATTTATTTATCTATTTATTTATTTATTTATTTTAGTTTTCGGCGGACACAACATCTTTGTTTGTATGTGGTGCTGAGGATCGAACCCGGGCCGCACGCATGCCAGGCGAGCGCGCTACCGCTTGAGCCACATCCCCAGCCCCTGGCTTGGATTTTAAAATAAACCTGAACATGGCTTCCTCACAGGCCCTTTAATCCTAGGTGAACTACTTAAGTCAGATAAATTCAGTGTCCTCATTTGATAGTAATTATCTCATAGAACTATTGAGAGACAGAGAGAGAGAGAGATGTTTACAAAGTGTTCATCACTGTCCTTGGCACTTAATGAGCACTCAACAAACGTTAGCTATTAATTATGTAGCAATCATTCTACACTGACATGTACTGTGTGGAGGCACTGTGCTCAGGAGTCAATAAATAAGGGGTGACTAAAACAGTCACTGTCCCTGCCTCATACAGTTTACCTTCTAGGGAGGAAAACATATTGAATCAGTGCATGCACAAATAAATACAGTGTAAACTGTGTTAAGTTCAATGATGGGAAAGCAAAGTCTGCTATAAATGAGAGTATTAGGAGGACTGGATTTAGGGATACATCAGAGAAGGACTTGGGATAATGTCACTGAGACCTCAAGGATGATAGGCCTCAGTGGGGGAGGGCTGCAGGACTATGGTGGGTGTGAAGGCTCTGAGGCTACAGGAAGTTTGGTGCTTTCAAGGAAATAGTTGTCATAGAGCTGAACTGTGGGCAACAGGTGTGGCGAGTGATGTGCAACAAGACGACAGATCTGGGTGGAGATCATCGGCCTCCTTCCAACCTCTGGGGAGTGTGTGCATAATTAAAATTTTCCTTATCCACTACCCTTACCCCATACTGAGAATCTGTCATTTGATGCAGTAACCATTGTGGTTCTATAATTTCTCACCTTTCTCAACAAAATTTTTCAACTGGGCAGGTGAGGGTGGAGCTAAGTAGAGGGAAGAGGTGCTAAGACTTTGCATTCTAAATGACCCTTAGTTGCCTTCTTTCCTCTACCCTCCATCCATTCCTGTAGATATCCCATTTATGAAACTGCTCCCCAAGGTAACCAGCAAGCTTCTAATAGAACCCAACTACTTTCTCAGTCTCTCTTTACATGACACTGCTTGCTGCCATATTCCCCTTGGGCCTCACACCTTTTCTAGAATGTGGGGTAGTGCTGCTCAAAATGGCCATCATGGATGGGGTTGGTATGCGACTGTGTGTCACTGTTACTAAAGACATATGTTTGGAAACTGAGCAACCATTTAGAAACTGTGCGTGTATGTGCGTGTGTATATGTGTATATGTGTGTATGTGTGTATGTGTGTGTGTGTGTGGTACTAGGGATTGAACCTAGAGGCATGCTACTTCTGAGGTACATTCTCAGTCCTTTCAATTTTTTTTTTTTTTATTTTGAAACAGGGTCTCATTATGTTGAGTAGGTTGGCTTTGAACTTGTGCTCCTTCTGTCTCAGTCCCTTAATAGCAGGATCACAGGTGTGTACCACTGTGCCTGGCTTAGTTTAATGTTTTCTATGATCTTTCCACATTTCTAAGAACAAGATGCTAATATAAGAGTTCAGGCATACTTTGCATTTGATTCCTGACATATAAAAGACAAGAACAATCCAAATAGCATTAGAAAATCCACCTTGAACTGGGCATGGTGGCTCATGCCTGTAATCCTATTATCATGATGTGTTGGTAACACGTGTGCAAGCAAAGGGTTTGGGAAGTTAGTTCTAAAGCATTATTTCTATAATCTACACAAATGCCTTCAAGGAATTCTATCTTCACCTTTTGAGGTCCAGGTAGGTGAGTAGCTCCCTGAAGAGGAGAAACATGTTTAAGCCAATCAATCATTCAACCACTTAGCTAATTCTCTAAAAATATTTTTAAATTACAAAAAAGTTTTAGCATCTTTATTAACTTTGAGAGAAAGGAAATTTCCAAAGGCTAATGAACGATAACCACATTCAAATTGGCTTCTTTTTAGTTTAAACATTTTCAACATTCATTCCCCATGCCACCCACATTTTTAATAAGTTCCTTCTGCGGGTCACAGCATGCTAAAAACTTATAAGGCAAAGGCAAGAAATCCCTACGTGGGGATGCCTGCAGCCTGGGGAGGGTGTAATCTCCCAGCCTGTTGGCCTCCCAGGCCCTCCCATGATCATTTGGTAGTTGATACTCCAGTTTTAGAGGAGCTAGAATGACCTATTTTTTTTTTTCTGTTTTCTTTTTTGAGATAGGAATTGCTGCGTTGCCCAAGCCAGTCTCTAACTTACGATCTTGCTTCAGCCTCCCAGGCAGCTGGGATTACAGGTGTGCACTACCACACCCACCTCCAATGAACTCTGCTAAAGGCAGTTATAACCTATGTAATATCCAAATTTCAACAATCAATGACAAATATTGTGATTTTGAGTAGTATTTTGAATGTTACTGATGACTTTTCCATAGTTTTGTAAATGAAATGCTGACTGAAGAATGGGCAAGAACCACAAAATTAAAAGTCCAAAATGGAACTCAGATGGGAATCTGCTTTTGCAGATGAGAACCTCCTCCTCTTCCAGAGCTGCATCTCAGGAAGGCCACCAAAATATTTAGGCCTCAACCTGGAAGGCATAGTCTAAACCTCCCTCTCTCTCACCACCCACATCCCACACATTAACCAGAGTTCTACCTCCAAAGCATCCCTGGAACCCACCCACTTCTCTCAATCCTACTGCAGTGACATTACAAGGTGACCACAAGCTCTTCCCCGACCTCTGACTTGGCAGCCGCTAGAGTCTCCAAGCTGTAGCCAGGAAGATGTCTTAAAGATGTAAATCTAATTCTTTCTACCTCTATTAAAACCCTTCAGTGATTCCCACTGCCCTTAGGTAACAGGTCCCAATCGTTCCCCTGTCTACAAGGCTCTTCCAAAGCTGGCTCCAGGAGACCTCCAGGCCTCATCTCACACCCTTTAGTTCCTCCAACACACCCAAGGCTTTGTGCTGCAGGGCTTCCAACTATTTGTTCACTCAAACTGCACATCCATCTGTCATAATTCCCGTGGCACCTTAGGCTTCCTCAGAGGCCTGAGGATGGTTATACATAACTAGTTGTATACTTCTAACTATTACTAGTCTATAAGTTCCACGAGAACAGGGTCTTCATCTATCTTGTTCATTACCATGTTTCCATGTCTAACACTAAACAGGTTCACAGAAAATATCTGTTAGGTGAATAAGTGAATGAATATTTTAAAAGCTGGCTTTAAGGGCACATTTACCACTTTTAATTTATCCCTACTTTGGGTTTAAAAAAAAAAGCAGCTATGGTCTTGAGTTAGTCAAATTTTTAGAGCAAACTTCCCTCAGAATTCTTTTTAATAATGGCTCAAGTAAGCTTGGATAGCCTACGGCCTAGCCACCACTTCAAACCATTCTGCTAGGGCAGAACCCACTTAAGCTGCCAGAATCTCTTTTTTTGCCTATCCATCCCAAGTGGCCATGGGCAGCTCTTCCCCAGGGCCCAGCTGACCTCCCAGAAGGCCATTCATCCCACCAGGTGGTT